TTTTTCGATTCGTATAATATTGTTGAGAAGCGTGTCATACTATCCTTTGCCTGCCTCGCTAATTTTGGTAGCTCTCTTTTATTTCTCCGGATAGTTCCAACAAGCGTAGTTTTTTTCGCTAGAAGTTCTACTCGCTAGTGACGCGCTTATAAAAAAATTGTCAATTGGGCCAGATGGCCCGTATATGGTTCTGCTAATTTCAAAGTTACAATCTCTCCAAGTGGGATTGATGATTCTCTCCCTTCATCTTTTCCCAAATATGGAAAGCCGTTTACTATATATTTACTAGTTACATCGGAAGCTAATCAGAATTTTAAGCCAAATTTGTCCGGTTTGTTGGGCATATATTGACTAAATCTACAAGGTGCTTTTGCAGGAAACAATTGTTCATCTATAGTAAGACATGCTCCTGGTTTATAACAGCTTTGGCTGTTTTCGATAAATTTATACCAAACTTGAGAAATCAATGCGAACTTATCCTTTTGTAAGCGTTGGCTCCGTTGATTTTTGTTGTGAAATCGAATAAATCTCATGATTTCTGCGAAGTCATTCCGACTCATAGTTGTCGACAAAAACGACGGACCCCCGTTTCGTGTTCCATTATTATGATAAATTAATATTTTTAGGCTCATATGCGCCGCGTGCATGTAGAAGTCCAATAAATGCATATAATTTTGCAATAGATAAATTCCATTTCGTTTCCAACACTCGAACAGTCTCCGTATATTCTCTTACATGTTCAATCATTTCATGATCAATAATCAAAGAAAATGCTGAAAATGCTCTGCCCTTCATAATATTTCGTTTAGCGTATCCTGTCGATTCTGATATTTCCTTGCAAATATTATAAGTCGATGTTTTTCCACTGTTAGACCCTTCTTTTATTTTTTTCCAAACAGTTCCGTTCATAGCAGTTTCAATCTCTTCCTCATTTGTACTTTCGGAACTAACTATAAATCTCTTTCTTTTCTGTCCTCTTCGTATATTTAAAATATTCTCTTCGTCCGTATCGCTGTCAAATAAGTCACAATAATTTTCTGCAATAGCATCATCAATATCGTAAACTTCTTGATCATCTTCCGAACAATCCTCGTCGATATTATTTATTTTGTCTAATAAATTTTTTTTCGGAAAATACACATTAAAAACAGTTGTAAATATTGAAAAATAACTTGTACGTATATTTTATGAAAAGTCAATAAGATACATAATGATACAATAACGTTTTATGCGAGAAACTTTAAACGGAATTTTAAAAACGGTCATTTGACCACACATGGTAGGTTTAGTGCTAAGCTAGGGTTAAGGACTAGTTTTTAATATGTAATATGTAGTTTGTAATATGTAAATATGTAACAATTTTATAATATAAGCAATGTGATATTAACATAATATGATTAAATACAGAATGTAGACTAACTCATATGTGATATGGAAAATTCAATAAAAAATAACAAATTTAGCAAATGCAAAAAATAAATATATAAATAAACCCAACATAATTTCATTTTTTTCAATTTTATTTGATGATAAAAAATATCCTCAGATTGGTTGATATGAACATTTTCATCGAAATTTGTTGAAGCATTTGGCAAAGTCTTCAAAATCAACAATGGAAACAAATCGTATTTGCTATATAAGGACCTGATGTTTGGCCTTTATTTATACATACATATTGAAATGCACATAATAGCCCATATTTATTATTATTACTAGTTTGGCCAGAGGATAAATTCTAAGACTTAAATCACTAACATCTAACGGTATTGGCTTTAGTGAAAACCCACGACCATTAAATTGTTAGTCGAGACACTTTGCGTACTCGGTCGCTAAGATAGGTCTACGTAGAATTGTATCTGCTCTGCTTTACAATCGTTTGAAAGAATGCGATGTCATATTAAAAAACTATTAACAGACCTTTGTTCATGCAAACAATGAGAACAAAAGAGGGAGCACACAAAGGGCTGTTAACTAATCGCGTTACTGCTGTTATTGACAACAGATACATAAAAAGTCCCCAAGAATCCCCTAATCTCAATCTATGTATATCGTTGCCTCTTCTTTGAAAGGGAGTAAGAGAAAGTCAAAAAACTGAAACGTACACTGTTACCAAAATTTTGTACGACATGCTTAAGAACATGAGTATGCTGTAGTAGAATATATGCTATGGCCGAAGTATTTGAGTATTTGAGTGTGCTTGTGGGTGCGCTTGCTTAAGGAGTTGTACGTATGAAGAGAATGTTTTCGAGTTTTCGGGTTTTGCGTTCGACCGTTTACTTTTGGTACATAAAAGTGCAAACATTTCTTTCCAAGTGGGCTTAACATATTTACTTAAATTTTCATATTTCTCTACTTGCACACCTATTTATTTATTATACAATTATTTTTCCTTGTTTCTATTATATATAATTTATTAAGCAATTGTGTGGAGCTTTCCACATCAGCCCTGATGCATTCTGTCAGGATTTGTTTTAAATCGCTGCTTCCCATGCGTCATTAATAATTGTTATTACTATCGTAACTCAAAATTAAAATTAACGCAATAATCACTTCCAATGTCTATTTGGTAATCTTTTGCCATAACATCATATATGCAGTACATGTTTCTTCCATTATGTTCGCTATATAGGGGATTCGCCGACACATCTAGTAACCGATACGTGAGCGGTTTGGTGGCTTACTATTACCCTGACACTCAGTCCTAAATCGTTTATCAAATTTATTGTATCTAACGAGGCAATTTCCATAGCTTTCCTTTTTGTCACCTCGTTAGACGCAAAATACTGCAATACATGTTATCATCAAATGTCTCGGATTATTACGAAAGGGTATTCTCTTTCAACTTCTTTCACTCTATTTAATCTATTGAACAGAATTGAATTTAGTAGAATTGAATTAAGTAGAGTAGGAATGCATATGAAATGCATATGAAAGTTTCAAGTACAAAGCACAATAACCCAGCGGTGGTGTAGTTGGTGAAGCCTACTTCACGGAAATGGGCATTTTTTTGTAAGGTGCTTGATTCTATTGATATTGAGCTATTTTCGTGTAAATAACATTTTTATCAAAGGCGAATATTGATGAAAATAAGAAAATCAAGTATAGTGTGTTAGTTTTTTTTTAAGTGACAATAATAGAAAAAATATGTATATTAGAAATTAGAAGGAATAATTATATTAAAAAGTTTTTGGCAGTAAATACATAAATGCATAGAAATAATAGTTATGATCTGCTTTGTTAACCGGCAAAAATGTATCGGTAGCAGCTTCTCGGCCTTATGGTTAAGATCAAAGTGTAGTTACGTAATTAAACTTTTATTTGCGTTTATATGATTTATTTGTAAACAAGTAAACGTCAAATTTGACTTTTATTTTCCCTTTATTTTTTGAAATAAAAATCGAAAGACAAAAGCCATACACAATGCAAATTAAAGGGTTTTCAAGTTAGGCCGAGGAAATGAGAGCTAGTCAACTAAATATGCGTAATAAGTGCCAAGTTTGTATATATAAATCTCTTTCGCAACTTATAAATGCATATAGAAGTTAGAAACAGTCATAATATAATACGTCTGGGCGCTAATCTAGACGCTATCTTTTAGGCAACCAGCTCTCACTTACCTTGAGAAACGTTTGTGTGAGAGTTACGTAAGCCGTTCATCATTCGAAACTTATGTCGAAAAAATAATGAGCAAATATAGGGGAAATTTGACGTTAGTTTGTCTATAATAATATAATCAATAACAAAATTAGATAGACGTAAATAAAAATAAAATTATCTTTGAGAAAATGATATGTAGTGAAATTATTTCACATAACTCATATAATTTCATATTTTCATTATTTGGGAAAACTTTAAATTGCAGACTTGGACTTTGAATATCACTTTATTCTCATTTTATATATAATATATTAATATATTAACGTATCAATTTATCTATAAAGTATTTAAAATGATTAAAAATGAACTGCAAATCAATTCAGAAAATGCAGAAGATATGCCGGTTCTTATTTTGCCTCCAATGGGATATCTCTTGCGAAACGACCACACCGTCGTCAAAATAAGATTACGGGGTGCAGAAGTTAAATCGTGAATTTTCGAATTTTGCACTTTGTAATGTACGCAAATGTTGTGCAAATATTTGCCATCTTCCTTGGATCGTATCTGCTTTTCCGCTCATCGATTAAAATACGTCATGGACTTCAAAAAGTTTAGTAGCTTAATTTACGTTTTCGAAACATGAATTTAATACTACCCTTTACATACTCCGATGCATCTCTCAACAATGTAGTGTATTTCTGTTGGATGGGATCGGCTGCAGTTCTGTACCGCGTCATTAAACAGGATTTATTGCATAACAACGTGCCACAAGAATAAGAAAAGCACAAGAACTTACTCACCACCAGGAAGACTAATTTTTTTATGGAACTTTTCTTTTGTGTTGACATTAATATCTCACCGGATCCATTCCGCGCAATATTTTTCTTTATTTCTTGTATCATTTCTGATGCGAAAAGATACCCTGGGCAATGTTTAAGTAAAAGCGGCCAGCCGTTGATAGCCTCCAGACTCCAAAAATTCCAAAGTAAACTAGCTAAACGGATCACTCAAAACGCATAGGTTCTTCTTACGCCATCGCTCGCACTAATTGTTCGCAAAAGGTATTCCAAAGTTTCTTTTGACTCGCGAAGCTTTAGCTAAAATTGAAATGACATAATATACGGAAAGAAACCATTCCGGCTGACGTGTATGTATATTTTATTACTACTTGATTATTTAATAACAACATTTTACATACCCTTTTTACACCCATAATATATGCAATACCCAAAAGGAAGTTTCAGAGACCCTATAAAGTATATATATTTTTGATCAGCGTGAAATCATGATATATATTATCTGCCTAAAATGTGTCAATTTTAAAATGAATATGGCAGATTCCGCAATTAATTTTTTCTGAATAACACCAGCAACATGGGTACCAAATAAAAGAACTTCGAGAGCATAGTGGTGGGCACGCGAGACTCGGCACGGCGAATATGGCTTTCTTACTTGTTTCGTTTTGCTTAGTAACATGAATTAGGCCGGTTGGTAATAAGCCCATTATATTCAGTAGAGTAATGGGTTTTTATTATTGGCTGATTCTGTGCACTTTGTCAATGATAACGACAGTATGTGATGATGTATGGAGAGATAGATTGATGATATTGCAAGGTTTAGCGAATTAAGAACCTAGACAATTAGAGTAAAAAGCGAAAAAAATGAATGAATTTACTTACCTTTCATAAATATACAATTGATGTTTTGGTTCTGCTGTTGGTAAGTAAAGTATTTTATTTTCAATTTACAGTTATTTTCTTTTATAAATGCAGCTCTAAACAACCAAAACTCAGAACAACCAATTCTGACGCAAAGCGTTGGCAATTTTACTTCCGCTGCTTTTGACATTAGATATTGAGAGAGCTTTTCTCATACCTCTTGTGCATATATATAACTAAAATTGACGAAACTCGAAAATGAAACCTAGTTAATGCCATAAAAATCAGTGCCCTAATTTGTGATGAGATATATAATTTGAAAACATTGGCAATACTATTCTTGTTGTTGGTTGCACTTCCAATATCGTTTTCGCATAATAAGGAAAAAGACGGGGCATAGAACAAATCAAACTTAATAACTAATTACCCCACCCAAAAATCGGTTAACGAGTTTTTTATTGATTGATTTTCTTTAAAATGCTTATCGGGCAACATTTATTTAATTGAACGGCAACACAATGGCAATGAGACCACAAGGTAGCAGTGCTACTGACTCTGATTATGAGACTCTAATGCAGCGTTTACATATAGGTGGTAATGTTGGGTCCCACAATTCCAGTAGTCTAAGTGATCAACGCAATAAATCACGGAGACCGGCGATTACGTTGGATGAATATAAAATGTATGAACGTCAAAATATAATCGCCGCATCAAAATATGCCACACCTAAACAAATTGAACAATTACATTTACAACACCAGCAAGAACACAAGTCCTCAGATTCTACGATAAATCGTCAGTACCATCAAGGCTACATAGTAAATAGTGAAATGTATGAGAAACATCATTCGCCAGTTTATGAAAATCTGGATTTTTATAACAACGCTGGTGCTGCTGCGACTCCCAGTATTGGTAGTCATTACGAAACAACAAGCAAAAAAGCTCAACCCCAATGTCCAGTGGCAGCTGCTACTCAACTGCAACGTGGTCATTATATGATAATGCAACCGCCAATGGGAGCATTTAATAATGGACGTTATGCTCACACACCAGTGCCCGATACAGCGGAATCAATCACATCTGTTCCCATATATGAGAACATGCATGTAGTACCCAATTCGGGACAACGAGCTCAACCACAAGCTTCACCAGCCACCGTTACTATATATCAGCACCAGCATATCGATGTTTTGGCATCACCACAACACATAGGTAACCGTTCGCTGATGAGAGCCACTGTGCTGGAACATAGCAATGACGCTGCTTTAGGAGGAAATGTCAATCTGCTGGCATCACCTATGCATAAACGTAGTACATCAAATTCGTCCTTAAAATCAACTGTTAGCTCCTTAGTGGGCGGTCAATGCGAACCTAATTCACCGACCCAACGTTATCGCAATCTCTCATTGCCCAGTCACGTAGCTAACGCTCCTATATCACCAGCTAAATCTTATACTAGTAACGCCTCTAGCACTGGGGCCGGTGCTGCTAACGACTACAAATTACATCAACACACCCCCTTAAAAAACACCGTAATATATTTCTAGAACTTGTTTTAAATGACCTTCATTGAATTTGCGGTCTTTTCCATTTATTTTACTGACGCAGCATCACATTCCCGGCATTAATGTTTCGGTAAATCCAAACTTTATTGAGGAAATTAATAGTTCTGACTATGTTTGCATGACTGCCAATCTAAATAATAGTCCCTTAATGGAGTCAGTTCTACCAAAAACTTTGCCTTCCTATACCAGTAATACTTCAGACATAAAAACAGCTACCAAGACTCGCCAAACATCACCAACAGCAACGACCAGTGGCGGAGGTCAGAACAATAAACTTTTTATGCCCATAACAGCTACTAGTAGCGCAAATAAAAATACCACCACATCGCCGACACCATCGCAAAATAGCACGGGTAAGCTATAAGACCTGATGATATAAGGACGGTGTTTCCTAACGAAACGTTTCGTTTTCATAGGCGGTTTGGCTAAGAACTTGTTACCTTATAGTGTAACACCACCGCGTCCGGCTGGTCCGTCGGAAGCACAAAAAAAAATTGAGGAACTAACCAGGCAGTTGGAGGAAGAAATCGAACAAAGTGAAGAGCAGGGAGAATATTTCGGTAAGTTTTGGAATTTTCTTAAAATTGAAATTATTTCCATAGATTATATTTTAGGTATATGTCATACTTGCGGCGAGAAGGTGAAGGGTGCTGGTCAAGCTTGTCAAGCCATGGGCAATCTATATCATACGAACTGTTTCATTTGCTGTTCATGTGGCCGTGCTTTACGTGGTAAAGCTTTTTACAATGTTCATGGTCGGGTTTATTGTGAAGAGGATTATATGGTACTTTAATCGAAAATACTGATAACACTAATGAATATGTGATGGTAACTTGTTATATCCACCACCGAACATTCAGAAATAAGGGTATCAAGATAAAAATTCGCTTGATGATTGAATCATTTGCTTCCGAATCTCTTTAAAAACCGGAAAAATGTATATAGAAAATTATTTTTCATCAATTTTCGCACATCGAATTTAATAAAAGCAAGCCGCTACGCGTTTTCAAATCCGTTTAAGATGTTACGCTGAAAAATTATGAATTATTATTCTTTCTGGTATTTGTGAGATTTATTGATATCATTTGAAAGCTCAAAGTAAAACTGATCTTGAACGGTCTCCAGAATACTCGCCGTACTTTTTGTTTTTGTATAAGGTAGTGGATATTCAAGGTTCGGCCTAAGGCGACTAAAGCTTTTTTACCTGTTGTTCTTTCTCTTTCTTAGTATTCAGGCTTCCAACAAACAGCTGAAAAATGTGCCATTTGTGGACATTTAATCATGGAAATGGTAAATAATGAAAAATTTAATTGGAAGTATTCTATTTAAAAAGATCTTACCTTATAGATACTTCAGGCTATGGGTAAATCTTATCATCCCGGTTGTTTCCGTTGCTGTATTTGTAATGAATGTTTGGATGGTGTACCTTTTACGGTAGACGTTGATCATAAAATTTATTGCGTTAACGATTATCATCGTATGTTTGCTCCAAAATGTGCCAGTTGTGGCAAAGGTAAATTAAGGAAATGTAGAAAAAATAAATTTGAAAAAAAAACTAATAATGAGCAATTTTTAGGTATTACTCCTGTAGAGGGAACCGACGAAACTGTTCGTGTGGTTTCTATGGATAAGGATTTCCATGTAGACTGTTATATATGCGAAGATTGCGGCATGCAATTGACTGATGAACCGGACAAACGTTGTTATCCACTTGATGGTCGCTTGCTGTGTCGCTCATGCCATTTGCAATGTTTATCTATGCAATCGACTACGCACACTGGTCATCAAGAGCCAGTTTGTGCTTCCTATCAATATATGGGTTAATAAAGCCAAAATACTTTAACAGCTTAAGTGCTTCTTCTTTTAAAAACGCGTATGCAATATATTTAAAAAAGGAACGAAATAAATGAATTTTTAATATTTTAGTTTAAGCAAGATATTCTAAGAAAAGCGAATACAAACATAATTTTATGCTTATTATTGTATAAACAACGCATGTTAATTATTCCAAAATTCTTAAGGACGAGATAACTTAAGTCTGTGGCGGTTCAATAAGTGTAAAACGTCTTCATGGGAGCTTTGAAAATGAACAAATCAAGAATCTCGTGTTTATTTTTATCTAGTCCTGAATTTTTAAAGTTATTCTCGAAAAATATTACATTTCAAGTAACTATAATGGACTTCGTATTTTTTCATAAAGCGTATACACTTTTGTTTACCATGAATAGTCAACATCCGTTCCGATCAAGCAGTCTCGTCCTCGAAGCAAGGGTCCCCCGTGGTTTAATAAAACAATTAAATACTACAAGAATAGGAAAAACAGGCTTTTCAAAAAATTTTCGAAAAGTGGTTCTTCTTTCGACTATTTCGCTTACTCTGTTGCAAGGCATAAATTTAATTCCCTCAACTGTCAATACTACTGCAGATACCTTCAGTTTGTTAAATCCTCCTTGTTTGCTAACCATAAATACTTTTTTAAGTTCGTTAATTCCAAAAGAAAAATCTCCATAAATCCGTCGTTTGTGTCTTTTAATGGCTCCGAGTCCTCGGATGATTTTGAAACCTCAAATCTTTTTGCGGAATACTTCCGAGAGAATTTTTCAACTGCCAATTTTGATTTATCGGTAAACTATCCATATCCGATTTCTAATTCGATTTCAATTCCTAACTTTGTTATATCTGAAAATGACGTTTTTGAAGGATTGAACTCTCTGAAATATAATTGTTCGCCTGGACCTGATGGAATCCCCTCATGTGTACTTATATCTTGTGCTGGCGAGCTTTGTGATGTTATCTCAAAGATTTTTAATAAGTCTTTGAATTTAGGTGTTTTCCCTTTGTGATGGAAGACTTCTTTCCTTATTCCTATTCACAAAAGTGGTAGTAGGCAACTTGTAGAGAACTACAGAGGCATCGCCAAGTTGAGTGTCTTACCTAAACTGTTCGAGCGAATTGTGGCTCAGCATATAGCCTTTTCCATGAAATTGTATATTTCTCCTTTCCAGCATGGTTTTCGAAAGGGAAGATCTACGGTGATCAATTTGTTAGAGTTTACTTCTCATGTTTTCAAGGCTTTTTCTAGTGGTTCTCGCACTGACGTCATTTACACTGACTTTAGCAAAGCGTTTGATATGGTTAATCATAGACTACTTAGATTTAAACTCCAGACCTCTGGCTTTCCTCTCTTCTTAGTGGAATGGTTAAGCTCTTATCTGCATGGTAGATCATTCAGGGTTTTGTTTAACCTCATTATCTCGGATGAATTCCCCGTGACGTCTGGCGTACCTGAAGGTAGCCACTTGGGTCCTATTTTATTTAATTTATACATCAATGATTTGCCCTCCGTGATTAAATTCAGTGAGATTTTAATGTATGCTGTTGATGTGAAACTGTTTTCTTCTTTTTCCGTAGAATCGCAATCACATCATCTTCAAAGTGATTTGAACAATTTGTTTGCATGGTGCTCTCTCAATCTTCTGAAACTAAATCTAAATAAATGTAAGAAGCTTTCTTTCTTAAGAAGGAAGTCGTTCAGTACTCAATACTTCATTGATTCGCACAGGTTGAAAGACGTCGATTCGTTCATAGATTTAGGCGTTCTATTCGATTATAGGTTACGTTTCAATTTGCCTATTGAGTCCCCGTTAAGCAAAGCTAGGTCCGCGCTTGGTTTTATGAAGAGGTGGTCCAAAGAGCTTGATGATCCTTATATTACGAAAAGGCTTTACACGTGTTTGGTTAGACCTATACTTGAGTATGCCTCTGTTGTGTGGTCTCCTTCATATAGGTGCTACGTAGATTCAATTGAATCTATACAAAAGCAATTCTTGCTGTTTGCCCTTAGGAATTTGGGTTGGGTCCCCGATTTCCTCTCTTCCACCCTATGAAAATAGGTTGCTTCTGTTATCCTTATCGTCACTCGAGAAACGTAGATTTGTTCTTGGGGTTTCCTTCTTAATCAAATTAATAAATGGTGCAATTGACTCGTCCGCATTACTTCGTGAGATAGGCTTTAATGTCCCTAACCGCTTCTCTAGGCACTTTATGTTGATAAAGCTTAGTCAATGCAAATATAATTTTGAACTGTTTAGCCCTCTCAGAGTTGTTTGCAAGAACCTAAATGACGTCTATTATTTATTCTCATTAACGGACTCTTTAAAGTCCATTAAAGCAACATTGCGTAATACGCGTGATTTACCTATGTCGTACTTAAACTGACTTAACCTTAAATATGTCATTATGAGTCGAAAATTAATTTGTTGTTAACAATTATCGGTTGCCAAGCTTATGCATGTTTGCGATGGCTTAGGGGTTCACTTGCAATTTGGTCCTGTATCGGTTGTGGGCGTGGCTCTATGCTAATTGTGTACATGCTTTTTTTTTTTTTTCTTTCTTTTTTTTTTCCTCCTTATTTGTTTTATTGTACTTATACTAAGTTTTATTATTAAATAATTTTAAGATTTACTTAAGAGTCAATTGAACTCGACTGCCATTTTGTTTTAGTTGAGTTTCTAGTATAAGTGGAATAAATAAATAAATAAATAAATACGAGGCTTACCTTTAGGAACAAATTTTTGTACTATCATTTTATCCATGCCGACAATATTCTTAACAAATGCACAAACATACCTTAAATTGTCACGCCTTCCGTTCCATATCTCATAACAAACGGTATTCTTGAATTTCTTGGTTAAGCATCGATTTTGGGTATAGGTTCGATTATTAAACATTGTGGAGCTCAATAATTTTTATAGTTGCTCTCTCAGCTACACCATTCTACTGAAGCAACTGATGTTTACATCGTTCGTTTTTAAACATACTTAAGACATCTTGCTGATATATTCGTCTGAATGCAATGAAGCGTGGGAACGCGTCCAAGCAACATTTCTTTGTTGGATCATAAACGTCCATAGGAAACGTCTTTGTTACAAAATTTGTCTTTATGTCAAAATTAAGCTTAAAGAATTCATTTTCAATTTTGCATAATGCACAAGTTTGCATCTTTACCCATATTATTCGTTTTTAGCATGTGTAATTCATTAAACTCCAGGTGAACAAATTTTGGATACCACATGAATGAAGTTTTTGCGTCTTTCACCGTCATCACAACGTCCTGTTTTTCTTTTCACAAAAATGACTTGTTAAACAATACTTATTACATCATAAAAGCTCGTTTTTCTTCGTTGGTTGGTTCCACTATCAAGCATTCACAATTTGTTACTTCTATTTGATGGATTACTCCAGCCCATTACAAGTGGAATGTGGTTTGCGTTCTTGTGGCGACTAAATTCTGATTTCATAGGATTTCCTTTTCTATAATTAAATATAGTATTTTATCTTTGAGTTCTTCTTCAGCTTCGGCACTTCTTTCTACTAACTTTGCAAATGGCACTAAACATGGCTTTCACTAGATATACTAATATAAATATATTCTCTTCTCTTTACCGCTTGCTCAGTTTAGTTTAGATTAGTTTATTAATTATTAATAATAACTATTAATGACGATACATATGTTATTGTACCGTAATAATAATTGCTATTATAATTAATAATAATGTACCGATAAGACTATGAAGTCTCTTACAGGATAGTAAAAACAATAAAATAAATCAATAAGAATAATAAAAATGATGTACAATATTAGATCAAGGCAAAGGTACAGACACAATTATGTATAATAAGTTACAATTTGTAGATTATAGAAGGCTTTAACAGGCACCCTAAGCCCGTTCGGGCTTACCATCGTTTTAATACGGAGCGGCAACGATTTTCACAACTTCATGTCGACACCAAAGAACAGCCTTGACGATACTAAATACTTATGATCAGACAGAATCAGATTCCTTGTCCGTTCAAACAACATTTTTTCCTCTATATATCCTAGTGTTCGAGTGTAGATGAGCTTGTCAAGAAAGATTAGATTTTTAATGTTAAGATACCTTTGAAGATCGAAATCCAAAATTTTACGCGAAGACTGCGATATATTTTCAATTATGCGTTTATTAAAAATAAATCTAGCACGCTTATAACGGCAGCCTGCAATTATTGCTAGAAACACAATAGAAGTTACCGTATAACGTCCGCACCATAACACATAAGAGGTACGACTAGACTTTCGCTCAGTCTCAACATAACATAGGAGGTCGAAAGCCACAGTTTCTTCAGAATGTTGTAGGTAGGCATTCTCATAAAATTGACATAATCCACGGCACTCAAGCGGCAGTTGGGCCTGAACCCAAGATTGGAGACCTCACTAACAAGCTCAATTACTTCACCGAGCATCTTAACAGATGGCAAAGAATTAGAGTTAAAACTGACCGGCGAAATAACCATAGCTTTAGTTTTGATAATATTCAACTTTAAGTTGTTAGAGGCAGACCATAGAATAATGCGACCCAAATCTTCGTTAATACGTTGGACTGGACTCCACCATCTCGCATGGACACGGGTGGTAAATCTGAACATCGTCAGCAAATAAGTATATGCGACAGTTGTGGCAGCATGCAAAGAAACCATTAATAAAAGTACTAAACAATATATGTCCCAGGCATGGTCACTTTTAATTCAGAGGAAGAGCTTACAACTGTGCATTGATACCGATTTGCCAAATAAGATTTGATCAGACTAGTCACCACCGGGCTAAAACCAGAATAATGCTCAAGGTTTTCCAATTTTCGATTTATTATAAACCACGATAGATACAACGATAAAAATGTGCATTTATAGTCTATGAGCAGTTCTTCACACGCTGTACAAGAATGGAAAAAGTCAGCCGAGCCCTTCCGTTATCTTATCGAAACGTTTGCGGTGCCCAGAAAGAAGTTTCAGAAAACATATCAAATCTAGATATTATTGAACGGCATCAAACCATGATGCGTATAAAAAATTTGGTCGTGGAAAAATACAAATTTCTCGCTTGTTCTCTTTCAGTCAGTTGTTATTATGAAAAAACTGAATTTTCGTGCATTTATAGGCCTTTGTTTAAAGTAAAATTATTTAAATACATAATCATGTATATTGTTGTAAACATATTAGAATTTCCAGGTTTCTTTATTTTAGTAAACTATAAATTTATAATGGATTTTCTTCCCTAGGAAACAAATTAATACTAATGAATAAAAATGATAATAATTGTAATAATGATAGTAATAAAATTTAATATACGTTTTCATTGACTCAACTTTCGCTTTTTTCTTACTGTTTTGCTTAATTAATAAAGTTAATAAAGTTGCTAAATATGTTATTTACATCAATGTATACATATAATCATTCATCTTAATCTTCTACTAATTATAGATAGTTTCAATTTTAGTAATTACGAACAATCCATCCTAATAAAAATATATACTTCATATAATTTAATACAAATTAAATGCTTAGAGAGTATGTGAAAAATAAAAAAAAAAATTGGAAATAATTAAAAATGAAATTATAAATAACAAGAGCAAGTAACGAAATTATACACATCTTGCATTGAATGTAAGTATATTTTACAAGTAGGAAAGATCGGTGCGATAAATACAGACGAGAAATTTCTCAAAACCAGGCTGTGGCTTCAAGTTTTCTGGACGTGTACAATATATTCGCATAAAAAGAAATAAATTATATTTTTTCAAGTTCATATTTAACCCTTTATGCAATAAAAATAATTATCTTCCCTTATAGATTAGCAGAAAAGAATATCACATGTAAAAGCATTATTATCTTCAATGTCTTTTTTTTAGTCTAAGAATTCAATTCATTAGTCTAAAATTAAAATAATAATAATATCTTCAATACTATGCTTTATTCGGCATACTTCTTACACATTTATAATGTATAATAAAATTATGTTCTATAAAATATATCAGAAAATTATGACTAATAATTCATGTCCTTACGTTTCGTTTTAATACAAAACACAATCATTCTAAAAAAATATCTTATCTATGCATTTATTTTTACCGAGACTCGCTGCATGCACTTCCGCAATATATCGAAGTGCGATCTTTTGATATAAATTTTTTAATGATGTTAATGTTTTAGTGTAAGCATGAAAAGAACTAGCGCTCCTCAAAACTTTCCGTTTCCGTATTTCGACATAATATATGGGATAAATTTAGCCAATTTTCTAAATTTCTACCCATACAACCTTTCCCACAAAAATTAAGAGTTTATGAATTGTGAAACTAACTTTCTAATCTTTCAAGGTGAAAGCTGTTCCATATAGTAATTGTATAATTGACTACATAGTTATGTTTTTTGGTCTATATAAAAGTTCTCATGAATGAATAAGCTTTTAGACGGCAACTATATTTAATTATTAGTACTTTACGATAAAATTGCATGAAGAGTAGTAAGATCATTGACTAGAAAATTAAATTGGCCAAATTTCGAACATGTTAGTTCACAGTTTGTACCCTTTCTTTTTTATTCCTTTCATTTTACAACAAAAATAAATGCAGCATTATATTAGGCAAATCGCTGCAGAACGCCTAAGGGTCCGGCTTCCTGGCCTTTTACGTTCAAACAAAAGTAAAAATGCGTGCTATATAAAACCAATTTTATTTTTTTCTTATAATGTTTATTTAATTCATTAAGATTTCAGTTTGCACCAGACGTTTATTAGTGTCACCAGGCATGCGATATGGAATAGTAGCAGCCATGTTCGTTAAGGCTTTAGCTTGTTGACGTAAATGCTGCAATCTCTGTACAAAAATGAAAGCATTTAATATTTTCACTTACACTACGTATATGTAATATAGACTTACGCTATCACCTCCGCTGTTTAAAATACCAGTGTCTTTCCCCTTTAACATTTTATATTGGGAGTACAAAATATCCATTGTCGCTAATAGAATATAAGGATAAGCTTTACTTATTTCACTTCCTAAACCTTTGAAATTGTTAAGACTTTCTTCCAATTCTCCCATAGAAAAGGGTACGAGTTTTGTGCTGGCTAATATCTCTAAAGCCAGTTGGTATCTACGTTCATGATAATAATCGAAAAATGAGACCAACTCATTTAATAAATTAAAGGTAACAACTATTTGAGCTTCACATTCGATACGACTGCCACGTAAACGTTCGCTAAATTCAGTAGCCAAAATGGCCAAACGTTCGCGCAGTGATCCTTTTTTCGAACTCTGATGAACAACTTGGGATAGCAATAAGGATAGATAACGTAAAGAGTTACTTTGCATCTGAAGGAAACCGAAATTTAACAAAGATTTAACAGAAAGTTTAAATAAACCACGCTTACATCAGCTAAATCGTATAGTTTAATAGCATCTTCAAACATTCCTTTCCGGACTAATTCGTCAGCGACTATATTAGCCGCAGTTCGACTGTCAAAATTTACACAATCAAATTGCTGCAATAACCCCCTAAGAACAAACTTAAATTATCGAAAAATATTTTCTTGCGGCTAAAATATATTTACTCACCCGCTGGCTACCCCGTTTGGCGTCATTTTACCAAATAATAAATCATAATTACGACACTCTATTGCTAAATCGCTGACGCATACGAGAAAAAGATTACGTCCATCGGGATCCTTAAGATTGCGTAGGAAGAAGTAGTATTGCAAGGCTTCAGCAGGATCAGTCATTTCAAACTTTTTGACATAGAGCATAATTAATCGCGCCATATTTAAGCGACGCATCGGTACCGAATCCTCAATATCGACAGACACTTGAATAAATACGATATACTTTTATTTTTCACTTAGAAAGTTTTTAGTACTTACGTAACGGTTCCTGAACATTACGTGGTCCCCCTATTAGCATCATTTCATTTAACGCTAAGGCTATATGAACAGCATGTGCGCGATATTTTTCTGAACGCGCTAGAAATTCTATAGCGGCTTCAAACTGGCCGGTCAGAGCCAGTACTTGAAAGTATAAATGTTGTTGTTCGTTTGCATTGAAATGTTTCTCACCATACTTTTCTAAAATCATAACTTGCAGACCGGAGTAGGTCAACGATTCACCGTTTTCCGAAGCCTCATTACGCAGAATGGATAGTTGTATCCATAGGAAATCGTCAGTTGTTTTCGCCACTTCTAAGTGTTGATCATTAATGTCACAACCGATGACAATGCAATAAACCTTTGCAAAATTAATATTAAAATGATCTAAGCATGTTTTAAATGTTTCCCAATTTCTTTCTTACACTTACCGCTTTCTTATAAGGATCTGTACTATTTTTAATTTTATTACAATAATGTAATTTAACTTGTCCTTCTAATTTGCTATTGATTTTTTGTTCGGGCTTGTTAATTTTATCCTCCAAAATCTGTATAAAATCTTCATGGCCAGCTCTGAATATTTTATAAAAAAATATAAAAGCAATATTTGTTTCATCGATCACTTCATATCCATATATCATAAGTTATAAACATTTTGTGGTTTTTTTTTTGTTTTACAGACCTGGTTTTTGAACATGACCATAAGTATAAACTAAGAGTTATATTTACTTTTATCTTTCTATATCCACTTTTGCAAAAGTGAGTGTTCCAAAAACGGACGTAAGTCGGAAAAATGCAGGCACATACCTAGTTAACTCAGAATCTTACGCAAAAAAAGTTAACATAAATATATGTATGGATCCTCTAACTGGTATTACTATTTTTCAATCTTTCGATGATAAATATAAGCATTAATTATGTTTTTCTTACCCTCCCATTAGCACGCAACGTAGAGCCGATTGCATGTCACCACATCTCAAGCAATAATATACCATTGGCCACAAAGGTTTTCCGTCTATGTTAACATCCTGTAGACCAAAACAATTGCTTTTATTAAAGGTAAGCCCCACGAAAGCAGATACTAAATTGAATGTACTAGGTACGCCACCACGTCGAGCTTCCCGCAAATTGCTACTTATAACGGTGGACATGTAAAGTTTATAACGATTTTCTAAATACTTTTTGGCTTGTTCGACAAATTGTTTGATTTGGATGCGAGTTTGCAGAGGATCACGGTTGCGAGGCACTGGCGTAACGTCTACCATATATTTCATAATTTCCCAGATATCATAAACTTTGGTATCGTTGAAATTTTTAGCTACTTTGGAAAATTTCTGCACTAAATTTGGCCTGAAAGCGCCCTTAATAACAACAGCATTATAGTCATAAACTTCCCGGGCATAAGCCATTTCCTAAAATAAAATAAGTAAAAATTTCTATTCCACAGTTCCTATTGCACTAATAAATTTACTATGTTATTTAAACATGATCGCAAACCAAAGGTTTCGTTAATTACTGTTTGCTCAGGTAATTTTTCTATATCGATCCAATTTTGCGATGGTCCCACCAAGGCGTTCATTAATTTCACTTTTTCTTCACGCCATTCGGCTTTGATATGTTCCCATTTCCGTTTTTGAGCCGATTGAAAAGCCTAAAAATTTGAATTTAGTAAACCATAATATATTTAAAGGTTTTGTTTGGCTTCTGCTTACGTTTTTGTGGACTTCTTCTATAACGGATAGTATCGTATTTTCTTTCTCGTTTTTTAAAAAATTTTGTACATCTGTCTCAGATACAGGATCTAAGGGCTCAAAAGTTTTTCGAGCATTTAACGATTCTAATTTCTGTGAAATTTTAGGCAAATCAATACCCTTGGATCCCAATAATATGTGCCTACAACGATATTTTTTTTTTTTCTTTAAATACATTTTTTTCTAAATATAAACACTAACGCTTGTATATCTTGTGCTCCAGTCTGCGTTACTCTCGTATGTAATTCCTTGGTCGCTTGCAATACTTGAGAAATCGTACGTTCCACACGTGGTAGTTCCTCGGTGTGCTGTATTTCATTATTCAGGCGTTGAGCCTGTTGCAATAATGAATTAAAATCCATAATGTTTATATGCAATGTACTATATATCTAAATATTTTTTAAAAACCCGTGTAAAACATAAAAATGAAAAAAAAAATTTATATTAACCCAAGCGACTCTAAGTATGAAATATAGTTTTAGCAGATTTTAGTGTTGTTAAGTGTAAAATAATTACTAGAACGTTAGTACATTGTTACTAAATTAAGATAAAAGTAGTCATTGGGTCGTCAAGAATGAATCGGCTTTGCATCGCTATATAATTACATACATTTAATTTATACATTATAAACTGGTTTGTCCGTGTTCGCTACATAACGACTCAAATAATAAAATCTTGAAAGACAGTAATTTGTACAATTCTTTTTATGTATCAGATAATGTGCAGCTAAGAAATATTTTGGTTCGGAAGTGTCCGAATCTGTTTGTGAAAGAAATAAAAAATGTTAATACTACGGTTTTACATTTTTGGAAGTTTTGGTGATGCTTGCGAATGCTACAACGTGAAATTTGTAGTTTTTGGTCTATGGTAAATTTATACACTTTCATACTTTCCGGTGCTTCTAGACAAATAATAGAAATGAATATTGCCAAAAATAGCAGCAAAAAATATCATTTCATATCATACTATAGTTTATTGAAAGTCTTGCAAAATTTTAGAAATCTGTTGATACGCATATGACAGTCTCCTATAAGCAATTGTAAAAAAAGAACGTACAGTTAATCAGCCTCCATGGGACGATTTAAGAGACCTTCTTTTTTTGGAATGTTAAGAACCTTCATATTAATATCAAAGGATACTGGGAAAAGTAGTTCTCAAAATTTTTAATTTCTACGTAGAGGGGTTGGTTGATTTGGCACATTTATTAAATAAATTTCAAAAGAATGAAAGAAATCGTTAAACATTTCTTCAGTTCAATAATCAACTGCAGCAAATATCGAACTATGAAGAATGTAACCGATGGGTATTCGATACATACGTTTAAGAAACTTAATACAATTTCCATTATATGGTAGTCCATTTTGATTCCCAATGGACTCGTATCTTCAATTCTCTTATGTACATTCAATCTTGCCAAAAAAATGGGTGAAATTGAAGCGAAGTGAGGAAAATTCAGGTGAATTTTAGGTTGTTTTGAAATATTGTTTTTAATGGATTGAGATCTTCATATAGTGAAGCGTATATGTCCAATGTATTAGTAGCTTGCATGGTTTACAAAAAATGGCAAAATTAAGTTTGCAACGCAAACTTTGATTGAAATAGGTCAGTTTTAGATTGATTTAAGAGAGAATTAGCTAAAATAAATTAGAAATTAATTCGTTTATATTGAATTAATTATACCCTATACCACTTGTGGTACCGGGTATATTAAGTTAATACGGTCCTACGTAACACTGAGAAGGGCTGAAGATACACCGACTTCTTATTATATCGAGGAAAAATTGCAATTTTCGAAATTTCTCGGCAAAAGTGGCTACGTAGGATTATTTCGGCAATCCAAATTAATGTAAAAACTTTCAACCTACTTTTTTGGACCCATATAACTCACATAGCCGTTCCTACGAATATTGAAGTTTTTATGGTAAAAAGGCCGAATTTCTAAAATGTCATGATGAAAATTAGCTCATAATAGCAAACTAATGAAGAAATTTAAGGGTTAATTTTTAGTAAATTAATTCATATTGGCATTTCAGCAACATCACATAAGTCTCATTCGTAGGCATAGCGCCACAAAGCAATCTATTATATAGTGAGAAAATCCAACCATCCATTTTGCGGGCTTTCATGACAATTATAGCTTTGCGTGTAATTAACATGTACTTTTTGGAGTAATATTGCCTAAACGAGCGAATAACTATGCTAGGCGAAGTGGTGTAGGGTATATAAAAGAGTCGGCGTTGGCCGTCTATGATAATCTTACTTCGTATAAAATAAAAATTAAGATAGATTTGCTGTTTTAATGAAGTATGTTCGTTTGCTAAGTTGAACACCATTGTGTACGTAAAAAATAATCAAAGAGGTTATAAAAAAATATAGAAAGATTGAAACACCCTCCTCTTATTATTAAATTGATGACATGAGAAAATGAAGTGAATTTCTCCTAAGTACATTTAGGTATGTGCGTAATAAAAATCATTTTCATATGAAAATAGATTAATAGAATAAGAAAAAATTATGAAAAAGATATCAATTCCGTTTATTTATCTAATTTATAAATTTGTGGAATTATCTACTCAATATTGATCCTTACCATCCTGGAGTACAATTGTCTGTCGCGGTTGTCAGAGCGAACTATCTTTTCACAAATGCAACAACAATTTTTTTATCGCATTTGAATAGAAACGTTCTTTTAGTTCTTGTAGCTTTTGTTTGCATATTTTTTTATTGCATACTTTTCAATCAACACGACGTTTGGCAAACGGCAGATGGAGGTTTTTTCGTATCTTCTCGGTTTTCGTGCAAAAGAAAAAGGAAAAAGTTTAAAAAAGAAAACGATTTTTTGAAAATAAACTAAAATAAGAAACATAATTGGATATAAATCCTTCGCGAATTCATTTTCAAATGAAAATTATTCTCTTGTTTGCAATTTTGTAAAATCCTTTTTTAAAAATATATATATTAAATTTTTTCTTTTTTCGTCCGCATTTTTGGTAAGCGTTCCCCGGGATAACAACTAAAACAACATTAGGCTGTCTACCTATGGAGACAAGGTCTGATCTAATTACTACAGATAGAGATGATTTTGAAGATTTTTATATGAATGCCACTGACCAGAACAAAAGATCGAGGATGGGTAGGGACGAAGTCGATTTACCTCTAAAAGATTTAACAGTGCTCAGAGAACAGGTAGTTAATAAACCTTCTGATTTAGGTGCCAAAGCCATCCTAAACCACAATATCAATTTGTATGACTACATTTCGCAATGCAATGTCTTAGTTTTTGTTGAAACTTGTGAAAATGTCGAAGACAAGCGTGTGAAGATCAACTCGGATCGCTTCTTTCATGATTATTTGAACAGTTTCAATATTAATGGCTTACAAGATTTTAATGAAGGATTCGGAGTTATTCGCAACGCCCCATTGAGTATGATGTGAACCAGATCATTGAAAAAGCGGTGTCCGATATTCCCATTAATTCCGTTGTTAGGTTTCGAAGCAGAAATCCTAACAACAAGGACGATTTCATTCCCACAACGAGCATTAAAAATAATTGTAAAAGGAAAGCCCTCCCTAAAGCGATCAAATTCAATTTTTGCAATCTACCTGTGAATAATCGGTACCCATCTTAAAGCAAAGCTTTAAATGCGGTAGATATAGGTATTTGTCGAAGTTGTGTAAAGCCAAGGAGGACAGGTGTCTGAATTGCGGGAACGCTCCCATGTGTGAAAACTATGAAACGAGCTGTTTGTCCTGCGGTTCCGGTGAGCACAACCCCTCAAACAAGTCTTCCCCGAACAGAGAGCAGGAATTAAATATCAACAAGATTATGGCCACTAAAAACCTTTCCGGCAAAGAAGTGAAACAGAAATTTTTCTCAAACTACTTTGAATATCTGGATGATAATTTCTACGATGAGAATTTCCCTTCACTGAAGAGCTCGTCCGCCGTTTTGGCCAAGGATGGTAGTGAAAATGTTAATAAGATTCCAACAAAGAAAAAATTTAATGCGGTTATTAAAAGGAAATCTGTTATTACGAAAGCTTCTCTCAGCTCACACACTAAGCCGTCTGTAGCAAGTTCTCAGCGTCCAGTGATTTCAAACAACAATTTGCGTTCTTCGGAACTTGATAAATTAATCTCTGCGATTAAAGAATGTGTCGTCCGATGATCTTTTAGGATCTTGTTAAGCAATTTGAAGAAAAAAATGTCTTATTGTGCTAATTCTCGCTACGAGTAAATCCATTTTTATTTGAAATATGATCTCGTTTTTACAATGTAATATTCAAAGTGTTCGGTGAAGATTATCAATTTTGGATTTTTACTTGAACTCAAATAATATTGATTTCTGCATCTTAAGCGAAGTTTTTCTGAAAGATGAACATTTTTTTAAAGGTAAAGTTTCTAATTGTACCTTAGTCACCAAATGCCGGAATGACGGCTATGGTGTTGTTAGTATCCTAGATAAGAAAGGCGTCAATTTCAGACGTATTCCCTGCAATTCTGCTATTAACATTATCGTCATCAAAACCATGAATCTTAAACCAAGACTTTTCATAGCAACATGCTATTTTCCACACAGTGTTCTTGTACAAACTGTTCGTGATGAGATTCAGAGATTATGTGACTTTCTTGATAATGAACAAAATGTGAGTCTAACTGTTTATTTCAATGCTAGACGTTACTTGTATGGCGACCAGCTCTCGGCCAACAAAGGCAAAATCCTTGTAAATGCCATCAATGCCAGCAGTTTTAATGTTTTAAATAATGATAATACTACCTTTTATTGTAATCGGAGTGGTAGCACAGCGAGCAGCGTCTTGGATCTAACCTTTTCTAATTCCACTATTTTATCATTCAACTGGAATACAACTAATGTCCCAATTCTCAAAAGTCAATACTCTTCCATTTTATTTCAAATTTGCAGCAAAGCCGTTAAAAAAATAGAAAATTTCATTTTACGTAACTTCCTTATAGACCGCCTGTCTAAAATTGATTTTCCTTCCGATTTACCATCAATTCAAAGTACTATTCAGTCTGAGATCAAGTCTGCTAGAACCAACTTTTCTCATATTGAATCCTCCTCACCTAAACCTTGGTGGAAGTCCTCCCTGTTAGCACTCTTTCGCAACCTGCAAGAAAAAAATGAATAAATATGCCCATCCAGCCATCTTCATTAAATATATGAAAACACTGAAAGAATGGACGGCTGCAGTTAGAAAGAGAAAAAGGACACATAGGGCTACCACGATTAAAGGGTTATGTGAAAATGGCAACTCGTGTTTTTTCTGGAACTACGTTAATGGTCATCGACGTTTTAGTCGAAAATTAAACGGTTGAGCTGCGTGAAATGACCATGATAACAAGAGATACTTAGATATGCTCAAGAACTATATTCCAAGTGCCGATCAGATTACAATACCTTAAATTCGCTTTAGTAGTCTCAACAATACACCCTTTTCATTGCGTGAGCTAATATATGTCTTACATACCAGAAAGAGGGCTACTGCTCAAAGTTGTCATGGAATTAAGTCAGAGCACTGTCTGGAGGAAGCTTATGTATCCTCTTGCATGCAATTAATAACTGCTAGTCTATTAACTTTATACCCTTAGATTTGCCATGTATTCAAATAGTTCCCATTCCTAAGGCAGGTAAAAGCTTAAATGATTTAAGTAGTTCTTACGCCTACCAAAAACGCAAATCTGTGAATATGTGCGTTAATGAACTATCTAAAGCCTGTCAACTAGATTAAGCTTGGTAGAATTCTCTTAAGCTTCTCAATTCCTCTTCAAATACGTCTGTGGATACTATATTTTTTATCCAAGCGTGCGCTGGTAAGGTTACAGACTAAATTGAGGTGTATGGCGGTATTCCACAACGCAGTTGCTTAAGCCCCATACTCTTCGATCTATGTGCAGCTACCTTGCATAATCTTCATGATGACAAAACTCATATTTTTCAATATGCAGATGATTTGCTAATTGTATCTGCGGATTCACCTTTTTCAGTGGCTGTGAATAACCTCTCGTTAAAGGTCAATCTTTTTTTCAATGCATGTGATGATCTTAATTTATATTTTAACCCCAGCAAAGTAAATACTTTTCATTTTTCAAAAGTTTCTAAACGCAAAATTCGCCTCTTTATTAAAGGAACTAAAGTTAATCAGGTGAAGTCTCTTCGATTTCTTGGCATTAAATGGCAGCCTAACTCTTCGTGGACATTAAGAGAAAGCATTCAAAGACTGCCAATCTGGATGCAATATCATCAAACTGATGACTAACAATCAGTCAGGATTACCTCCCAACAAATTTTGACTGCGTACAAAACTTTAGTCAGGTCTAAGATTGAATTTGCACATTCTACATCTTGTAACTTCCCAAAATATATTGAAAAAAGTACACAAACATTTGAAAGTAGAATGTTAAAATTTTGTACTGGACTGACACTCTCAACTTCTCAACATTTTCTCAATGTCACTTCTGCTGAATGGCCCGTTTCCGAAAGAGCTCTTCTTTGTACTGCCAAACAATTAATTAAGGTCAAGACGATGAATCCTTCCTTTTTTCACAAAGTTATGTCTCTCAGAGGTACTGTCTCTTGCAGCTACACATTTTGTTATCGAAAACTGCATCATATTTTTGACAAGATAAATTCAATTCCTCTCTGGAATTTTGTTACCAACAAACATAGAGTCTTCGTGAACATTCATGAATCGATCTCTACCTCAAAGCAAAATGTCAATTTCTCTTGTTTGAGGATCGTATGTCAAGAACAATTTGTTCCTTATTAAAACAACGACTATGATATATAGACCACCGACGGCTCCGTCGAACATAATGTATCTAGCTCGTCGATAGTGGCGCATCTATCTAAAATAGTACATAGAGTCAAAGAGGCGGAAGAACATTCCTCGACTTTTATTGAATTGTTTGGATATCTGGTCACTGCGGCTTTGTTTTTAAATGAAACAGCTGACTTTCATGCAAAGAAGGCTCAAGTTGACGGGACAATTTCGTCCATGAAAGCAATGCGTCCCAATGAAGCATTATGGTCAATTCGTAACCACATCTCTCAACAACTAAATGATGAATTTAAATAGATTACCGAGTTAAATCCAATCGCCTTTTCTATAAAATAAATTCCACATTTCAATTCAAACCCTTTTAAGAAGCTTCTTTTAATTCTTGGGAAATCAAAATTCTTTATAGAGATTCTTTCATGAGTGGTCACACTTTAAAAATGATTCGAGCTACACCATGTGTTATTTGTGAAGTTTGCAATATGATCGAGTCTGCTGAGCATCTAATTTTCAGACGTCATAGGCATGATGGTATTAGAAATTCTTTTAGCCTCTTCAAGTTATATGCTGGTCTCCTCGACCTCTTTATAGGAAAAAATATACGCCGTCTCGGGGAACTAACTTGCTTTATTAGAAAAGCGAATTTATCTTTTTAATTCATGACGAATTTTTTTTGTTTCTTACCTTCAACCATATTTTATCTCTATAACATTTCCTTCTTGGTTTCAGTCAAAGTCTGCAACACTTTATTTTTACATCACTTTCAACAACTTAACAGTGTACAATTACAATTAACATATCGGCTTTAGCTGTTACGGCCGCACGTGTTTTGTTGCGTTTTACACATAATTCTTGTCAATAATTACTACTGTCTGTTATCTGGGCATATAAGGCACAAGTTTATTGGCTTGGTCCATCTTAGCTCAACATACCAAAAAAAAAAAGTGCGTATTATTTCTCGCTCAGAGTTAATAATATCCTCAATATCTACAAGTGATTTACGCTGTTTTAACAATGCTTTCTTCCGTACGCTGCCCTATGTCCTGCTTAAGTTCTTCCTGTTATGATTCCATTATCGACTTTCTGGTTTTTTATGCTGAAGTATGAAATCTTATGCATTGAAGTAACAAGACATTTAAGAAGCAATAACATTTATCGTAAAAGTAATCTTTTTTTGTGTGGTTTATAAACTTAATGTATTTAATTAGAATAGCAATTTTTCAAAATTTTCATATGGGAAATGATTTTTTAAATAATTTCTTATACAGAAATTAATGATAATAAAAATGGGTTGCCATTTTCAGGTTTATGTGCCAAGATGATGACATTATTCTTCTATTGTGAAATTTCTTTTGTAGGGTGTTAAAAAGGAGCCAATTTCGATATTATTATGTTTCTACAATTATCAAATATCATAATAAGAGAGTCTTTGCATTCTTTCGATATGTACTCAATTGTGTCCTATTAAATTAATAATAAAACATTTCGATTTTTTCTCTTATTAGCCCTAAAGTTTTAAAGACGCTAACATACAATACACTCACCCTTAAAATATGCAATTTTGTTCATTCTTTTATATCGGTCTGATTATCGATTAACTTCGAAGAAATTGCAATTGCCGTCATTTGCTCGACTGTAAAAAGTTATCAAAAAAGTCTAAATGTGCATAAAATGTAAAATATACAACAACAAAGCTAAGTAAAAATAAAAAAATCAAAATATATACCGTTTGAACACAATTCAGTGAAAATTTATTTTTGTCCCGTTTGTGTTAAAGAGAAAAAAAGATGGTTGGTTTACTGAATCCCGTTAAATATGGCGGAAATTTCTATGACTTATATACGCTAAATACGAGGAGGTAATCGTTTATTTTAAAGCAATGAACTCTTTGATAACAAACATTGTTAAAATATTAAAATTTAGATTATAAAAAATGGGCTTCACGTCTGGCTTTTATTGATTTTTCAAACATATATCAAAAATATACACTTTAGTTGTGTATATACGCGTAAGAAGCGAAAAGTAGTAGAGTTGGAAACGTCTTTCTCTTTTTCATTATAGCGTATGTTGCTATGTTCATGCTTTTATTTAACAGTTATTTAGTATGTGCAACGGCTGATCCTTTTTTTGCGGCTGCAAGTTAAATGTGTTTTGGTGTCTCGTTTATAGCTTTTTTTTTCTGCAGCCAGCCAACTTTTTCTTTATCACTTTCACGCAAGAATATGGGCGATATCAACTTGTTCGTTTCCGGTTCTCTTGAAATTCGAAAATCAAATTGATATATCCTGCACCCTTGGTCCTGACTCCATGACCTCATTGCAATCTAAAAAAGAGTCCACCCCAGCTGAATGTAATTGAATCAAGGGTGACGATATGGTTCAAATGGTTTCCAGTGCAGGCTTATTGAGCGTCTTCAATCATCGCTAGACTAATATTATGACTATAGATCCATTAAGATTGTGGTGATTGTCAAGGCAGCCAAATATCCGATCACAATCGCTACGAAGACACTCAATTTCACTTTAAAGGGAAGACTAATGAAATTTTTGAATTCCAAAAATTGTGGTCCTTTTCACTCCTTTGCATTTTGGAAGCACAAATCTACCAAAACGTGTATTAATGAATTGTCTTTTTTGATAGCCAATGAGAAAAGGACTGGTAGGAAGGTTGCTTTGCTTTCCTTGGATGTCAGTAGGGCTAATGATTGTGCAAACCTAGTAAAGCTCAATAAAATTCTTTTAAAGATTTCAGTTCCGTTGAGTGCTGGTCATGCGTGCTAAAAGTGTAAAGGTGCATGATGGCATTTCTACTCTAGAAATGCTTGAGTCGTATTCTGTTTAGTTTACACAGCCCTAATAGTCAAAAGTTATAGCAGCGTAACTTTCACTATTCTGATGAGTTTTTGATACTATCATCTGGACGTGCATTCCAAGAAAGCAACGAAGGCAGAGTCAAACAAGTATAGTTCACTTTGTTAAAGATTCCCAAAAAGTGATAGCTCTTTCCATAAAAGGATTGTGCGATGGAAAAAATCTTTCCATTTGTTGTGTACAGTCATTAACGATAATATAACCTTTTATAAGGGCATTGTGAGAAAGTATTTAACAATTGTCAATTTGAACGTAACATAATTAATGTTATGAGTAATAAACAGACAGGTTTCCCTTCAAAGAAGCCGTGAAATTATATTGCACAAGTCATTGATTTGTTTGAAAATTTAATTGGCTCATTCGACTCCATATAATAACAAGTAAGAAAGTTATATTCGGCGGGGACCGAATTTCGCATACACACCACTATTAGGTCTTTTCATTTGATAACCATATCTAAGTTATTTTTAAGTAAACATTTATCCACTAAGTCGTGATGCCTACCATAACTATTTTAGAATTAAAAAACTTAGCTTATCACATTCTACTCTCCAAATCCTTTTATGTGATACCCATCTAGCAGCTGCTATTATGAAAGAATTAGTCAATCAAGTCGCGGGGTCCACCATATTTATCCTAGAATTGATCCACTCTTAGACAGATAATATATCTTTGTTTGAGGAGTGTAGTGAAAAAAGAAAATTTAACCACTTGTAACTTTGTGTACGACTTTTCCTATTTGTGCATGTAAAGTAAATGTGGAAAATTTCAGCCTCCTTTTTTATAATTTCTAATAACGAGCGAAAACCCACAATTTTGTTCAGGAAAATGAAGTTGCGTTCAGTCTACGCTCCACTGCAGGCTATATCGACGATATATACTCTTTGAAGCTTCCTTTCGAGTATTACGTACGTTATGAAAAAGCAAAATGAGTACACTTCCATCCTACTGTGGTGGGCATAATAATGCACATAAAAATATTAATTTACCGAAATATATAGAAAAGACAATACAGAGGTTTAAAAACAAAAAAGTTAAAAGATGTACGGTACTGACAGCATCGACGTATATTCTCGGCTCCATTTGTAGCGAGTCTCCTTCGAACAACTAAAGTGGCTGAAGTTTTAAGTCCTTTGGTTTACCGAAAGCTTGCCTCTTTAAGGAATCGACCACAATATGTTGAGCTGCTCTAGTGATATCTTATTTGCTGAATTACGAAAATTTAAAGAAGGATGGAGGAATTATCGTTAAGGTTTAGTCAATTGCTTGCCATTTGACATGCCGTAGAACTAATCATTACAATACCTCGAAGTAAATTTGAAATTGTTTCTGCCAGCAGGTCAGCTTTATTTTCGATACGTAAAGCAGACCCTGATAATCAAGACGTTTTTGAATATTAAACGATACCGATACCGAAAACTGCTATCGGGTCTGAAAGTTTTACAAAACTAAGGTACTTTACAACTGTGCAGAGTAAAGAGTGACTACAGTTATGACATAATGTACTTGAAAATGATGCCTTCGTCACGAAATTATATATGTGAAATCCGCAATGCAAAAAAAATCTGCTGAACATCCTATTTTCGAATGTTTCAAATTTGAATTCGAAGATGGTTTGAATTCAAAGCCCCTTTAATTATATAATAACTTTTATTAGATTTGTGGTACTCGCAGCAATGCTCATCTCGGGGAGCTTGCTTCCCTGCCTTAACCAATATTTGCCTATCACTATTTGAAATTTTGCTGGAACTTGTTCACAATTGCATATTAATATTAGGGTATAATAAATTGAAAAAATTGTTTTGTACTTTTTCTCTTAAATCTTTATATTAAGTTGCGAATAGCCAAATTTTGCGTATTTGATCTCATATCGCTTACCATGCGCCCTACAGAAAACATTATGCAAAATTTTGAGCTTTGACTGTACAGTACCAAGTACGGTTATGGGTTGACAGCGGAACAGAGCTTCTCATATTTGACATTCTGTTACATCAGTCTCTACCAATGCTCAAATGATTATGAATTTAATTTTGACTTAACTGGTCCAATCCATTTCCAAACAAACCAAACAAAAAAAAAAATAAAAAAAAAGAAGAAATTTGAAAAGAACGTTTTAAAATTTCTTAAATTTTCCTTTTAGGAAGTTTCAAAACGATCGTAAAAATCATTTAAAACGCAAAACCAAAGATAGGAAAGTTGCGCCGCCTATCGTAGATCCTAATCCCGAACATCGCAATGTTAACCCTTTGGATCCACCGTTAATAAAAGAACAATTACTTTTGTGTCCTGCATTTCCGGTGGCTCATATCGAACTGCAGCCGAATGCGTCACAATTTACAATTTTTTCAGTTATACGATCGACAGTTCTAGAAGCGGAGACCCGCCGTTTATTGTTTTATGAGCTAAGATATTTACCCACAACTAGCTCTTCATGTTGTTTGTTATGCACTGATACCTGCTTGGCTAGCAACCATGCTGAATGTTCTTGTCGTGTTTCTGCATCTATACAAACGGTAGTTGGTTCTAGCGGAGAGAAACGTACACGACAGGATTCCGCCAATAGTGATATAGATTCAGAAACTGAAGAAATCAGTGAAAAAGACGTAAAACCTGTTGTCGTCCCTTTAATAGTAGGGGCTGGTTTGCGTAGCCTTTTTGAATTGATATCCGAAACACGGCACATTCAGCCCACACTTTGCTCAAAGGCGCTAAAAGCTTTATTAGATGTTATCCAAGGCCAGCAACCAGAATCGTTTAAACGAGAGCCCGAAGAATTAATAAATCCCTTGTATGATTTATTACTTGATTTAACGACAATGACAACTACGACTGCAGCTGAGGGGGACTGGTCCGGCATAGCTTGTTCTGCTTTATTGGGTTTGTGCATTGCACGCGGTGACACCAGTCGCATGCTAAAAGCCATTGCCGCCGTCTTAATGTCATCTTGGCAATTGTCCAGTCAACGCATACAAATGCCTGCCGTTTTAAGTATGTTGCAACGCACAGTGATTAGTGCAGCATTGGCTAACCCATTATGTCCTGATTTCCATAATAAGGGAATACCTCACAGCTCGCTAATAGATGAGGTAAATGTGAAAGCGTACTGATTTGCTAGTTATTATAACTAATATTGCGCTAAACAATATCTTTCAGTTTTGCATAAAAGCTCCTTTAGTGGGATTTTCGGAACCAGCCTTGGCTTCGGACGGTACATATCTCTATTTGCTATTAGGTGGTTGTTTGCTTAAAGTTGGAACTGGTTACAATGGTTCATATAAAGGTCATATCTACGCTCAAAATGACGAATTTACCAAGGAAAAAACTGGCTGGTTGGGCTTCAGTGGCGATCAATTATATTATCGACGTAATTCCAAACGAAATGCCGATCATTTGCATTTGATCAATACTGAGTCATTAACCATCAAAAGCATGAATCCGGTCAATATGTTGCCCATACGCGAGGGCTTCAACTACACCTTATTTACCGATGAGGATTCATTGAACGCCATCTGTACCAATAGAGATGTAAGTTCTTATTTAAAAATGTTAGACATCTGAATAATCATTTATATGTTTAAAAAGGATACTTTGATGGTGCGCCGATTAAATATTTGCCCACAAAATCGTGTCAGTGATAGAGATATGGCTACACCAGCAGAATTACCTTTGCAGTTATCACGCAAAAGGTTTCGAACTTTGGGTTATGCCACATTCGAAGAGGAAGTCTTAAACCAAAATCAAATTTTGAAAATTCAGTCTTCTTATAACGTATTTGAACCAAAAATACCGAATGACGTTGATCTTCAGGAAATTGTATGTGGTAAAGAGTTTGGTCTAGTTTGCGCCACCAATGGCAAAGTTTACTATTATGGCAAATCGGGAGCGTTGGGATTAAAATCAGTTGGCCGCACGCCTATCATGAAACTCACTGAGTTGATTATTTCTAAGGTGTCCCGCATCCTTCATGTGGCACTAGGTCATGATGGCATTCATGCCATTTTAGTTAACGATGATGGTACCGTGTATTTTGCTGGTACAGCTCGCCGTGGTGAAGACGGTGACATTTCAAAAAATCGTCGCCAACCTAAAGCTGTAAAACCGAAGAAAATGGCAAAAATTGAAGGTCATGTTATCGTCCAAGCAGCTTCTAACAATGGCACTTCAGCTTTTGTAACCAAATCTGGGAAATTGATTATGTATGGGAAAGATACAGTGCATTGTGACGCTCAGGGTTTCGTAAGTGACTTTTCTGATCAGCACATGCAGAAGGTAGCCTTGGGTAAAGCTCATTGCGTAGCTTTGAACGCTAAAGGACAAGTATTTACTTTCGGTCTCAATAACAAAGGACAGTGCGGTCACGTTTTTATTAAAGCTAAAGACATTAACGCGGTTTTTATACCTTCTATAGACAGCAATAGCTCGGGCAAAAGTCAAACACCTGTGAAAAAACTTAAATTTGATTTTTCAAATTTATGCGACTACGACGATCATAACGTGGTCCAGGGTCAATGTCGAGTATGTATTTTATGCAAGGAGTGCACAGGATACAATGTGTCTTGTGTGTCTACTCTAAATGTGCCCTTGGAAGAAAGAATCTCAGGAGCGTAAGTTTTAAATAATTAAATACAGGGAAGAGAAGAATAAAAGAACCGCCGATTATCTCTGCATATATATGTAGTTCTTTTAATTATTTTCTCCTAATCGAATTCCGCTTTATCTTTAAATTGCTTTCAACTCAATAATGATAACTTTCTTGGATGAAATTTTTTGGATAAAATTTTTAGGCTTTGTGCTTGTGGCCATGGAGATGCTGGTTGTTCTAAATGTGGCTTGTGTGCTGCTTGTATTGCTGTACAAGAAGCGGATAATGGTAACAAATTTTGCTGCCTTTTCTGAGCGACAAATTGTTAAACCTTCTCCGTCTGTTTGGTTCTTTCATATATAGTTTCAGAGAGCAAGGATGCTAATAAACAATTAACCCGTCAACGTTCGAAAAGCTTAATTATGCGACGCAAAGACAAAAAGTTAAGTGAAGAATCCATTGCTCATGCCGAAGAAAATCCACCCCGAGTAGCTCCGCTGGCCCCTCAGTTATTGCACATACCTTCAAGTTCACCTGTAGTACAAGTCGCTTGCGGCTTACATCATACTGTAGTCTTGACATTGGCCGGTGAAGTATTCACATTTGGCAGTAATCAATTCGGTCAATTAGGAACGGGAGATATGCAACCAATAAGCGGCCCAATACGCGTAAATGTTACTGGTAACGTTTGCCAGGTAGCGGCTGGAAGTAATCATACAGTCCTTTTAACTTATAAAGGCCTCATTTATACTTTCGGTAATTATCAGAAAGGCCAATTAGGTCGTTTGCCGCATGATTTTCAAAACAAAACTTCATCATTAAATGAACGGGAAAGAAGTAGTATTCGTTTAGAATCAATGGGAGTAAATGAAACGTCAACGGAATCATCTACGGTAACGCAAATGTTAGCTCAGCGACAGAAGATTTTGTGGCACTGTACTCCGGGTTTGGTGTTGTAAGTAAATTATTTTTAGAGGTGCCGAAGAAAGCGTTAATTGTGTTATTTCTGTAGTGGTATTGGTCCAAGTTTCGGTAAAAAAGCCACTTGGATTGGTGCCAGTGGCGATCAGACGTTTATAAAAATTGATGAATCTTTGATAACCACACAGATGTTACCAAAAATGAATGTGGCCGCCAATAAGAAAACAATATGTAAATAAAGTCCGTCTTCGCTTTTCAGTTAGTTATTTGATTTGTCATTTATTTTTAGTAATGATTCCTACAATTCCTCTAAGTTTTAACGCCATCTCAATTAATAGGCGTGATGGAAGCTGCACAGCGCATTACTATAATCAAGTGGATTTCGTTAAACTGGAACATGCTACCAGTAAACCAAAATTAATACCGGAAGTGAATCGTAATATTGATGAGAATATGATGTCGATGGGTCCCTCTTCGTCTTCAGCCATCAACGAACAAATTTCACGCAGCATGCACGATGCTCGAAATCAATTATTCGACCTGCAAGATAATCATGTACATAATAATGTGCAATCTGTTCAACGCAAAGAGCGCGGTAGAGAACATTCGAAGGCCTCAGCGAGTTCTGTGGCAATGGTCAATTCTCCAGAAAAAATACATAGCAAGCTAGCATTCGCCATGGATCCATGGTATAATGTCTTGTGGGTTTATGATAGCAATAATAGAAAAATTTTATGCTACAACGTTTTGGCCAGTGAGATTCCTTTAGTGACTCAGGTAAAATATTTTACTGTCTGATATATCCTACCGATATTCTCTGCTTTATGGATATTTTTAGAATTCCTCAAATTACCGGGCTTTGCTGACTCCGGAATTATCGCTGCCTAATAAGCAAGATTGTCACATATCGCGTTTACATGCTTCCCTAAATTTGTTAGCCTGTTTAGATGTCTTAACATCAGCTCAAGATGTTATGTAAGCTGGGTGAACCAACTTTAAGACATATTTTGAAATAAGTTTTTTGTTTCAGTCCGTCCTGCTTTGAAGACGTCGCGCCTAAGGAAGACAATCAAAATAAAGACGCCAAGGATAGTCAATATCAGGTGGTTAATCGCTTTGATAATTTCGGTGGTGGTTGGGGTTATTCAGGGCATAGCGTAGAAGCCATACGTTTCTCAGCTGACACTGACGTTATAATATGTAAGGCTTTATAGTTTTCCTTGAAGAAATTGCAAGTACATTTTTTTTTATCTTTAAGATGGCTTTGGTATGTTTGGTGGTCGTGGTGAATATACATGCAAGTTGAAATTATACGATTTGGGTTTGGACGGTGGTGGTTATGAGAAAGAAGGCACTTTAATTAGTGAAACGAAAGAAGTGCCCTTTGAATGTCCAGCGCGTAGCAAATATCATATTTTATTACCGAAACCGATAAACGCCACCGTGGGCCGTTGGTATTTAGTATGGACTCGTATAGTGGGGCCATCTTCTGACTGTGGTTCTTGCGGTCAAGGTACAGTAACAACCGAGGATCAAGTTGTCTTTACATTCAAGTCTTCTAAAAAAGCCAATAACGGAACTGATGTGAACTCCGGACAAATACCATCTATCCTCTACCGTTTAGTAGCTCAAGAATCAAAACAGGCTATTGTTCCCGTTGACATAGATCCGGTGAAGAGCGTGACCAAAGAATTCGCTAACAGTGTAAAAAAAGAATGCTTTGAGAGTTTGGTTCTCTTACTCAATTGGTCTTGGGAAGCCTTTAAAAGACATTTGAGAGAGCAACGAGATAAGTCACATCAGCTGCAAGTAAAACAATCTTTGGAATATCTTATACATGTTAATAAGTCCTGTTTGCGTTTGTTAAGAAAATACACTAATGAAATATATCCACAATACGGTAATAAAGAGGATATTATTTGCGATTATATTTCCTATAACGTAGCCGAAGCTATTAATAGTAAGTCGACTAATAGCAAAAAGATCGAAAAGGATTTTTTGAAATTAACTAAGCCCAACTCCATATCAACAGCATCGGAAAAGAATTATAATGAATCAACGGTGCTTCTGAATCAGTCAACTACTGTACACAAACCGAATTTGGAAAATATTCATCTGGCCGAGTGTATCGGTAACGTAAGAGCAATGCTTATCGGTATCTTCTGTGACGATATATTTCAGGATGTAAGCAGTGAAGAAGCTATGTCAATGGCTTTGGAGATCTTGGAAGAATGTCACATAAGTTTTGTAGCATGCTTTGGAATATTCTACCCGACTTCGACTCTCAAATGGAATTGTTTGTGCGATTTACTCTCCGAAATGGATAAAGTACGTTCTTTAATTAAGATAGAATTTATTTTTATCCTTGGAATGAATATTTTGATAATTTTCAGCAAGGAATCTTGCACTCGCGCTTGTTGAGTGCAATTTTAGCTGGTCTATGTTCACCTACGGTAAAATTGCGTTCCACTTTTGCTCTGCTGAGTCAGGGTAATGAACGTCAGTCTATTATAAGTCCCAGTGATAATTCAGGTTTGCCCATGTTATCTTCGACCGATGGGCATCAGTATCCTATTCTCGTGGAACAAATGATTTATCGTACTCAACAAGAGAAAAGCGATTTCCTCAGCAATTCCTGGACTTTTAAAGATGTATTAATGCGCTTATTGGACATTATAGCGAACCCAATACGTGATAGAATTGAGAATATTTATAACCGTAGCGTTCACTTTAATTACTCCAATGGCAGCGTTTGCAGTAAGGAGATGAATCAAGGTCTGATTGATAATTGTTGCCATCTTTTGGGCAGAGTATTAGCGGAAATCGTCTATCAAACAGCTTTAGGAGATGTAAGTTGATTATATGGTTTCAAAAAATTGCGGACCGTTTAAATTTAATGACACTTCTTATCTCTCAGTATGATAAAATATTTGTTCCCCCGCGCAGCCTGCACTCGTCAGGTTCACGTTTTGCTCGTTGCGATCAAAGTCGGACATGGAATACTGGTAATTTTGGTCCCGATGCCATTGCATTCACTGTAGACAGTCCAGGTATAGCAATAGCGGGAGCTATGATTTATTCCGGTTCAGGCAGTTATGAGTATCAATTGGAACTCTTATATGATAACAGTGGTGATTTGCAGCAATCTCAACAACAACAGCAACAGCTTCAACAACAGCATAAATGGGAAACCTTAGAATCAATTTCGGGTACTTACGATCAAACCTCGGTACACAACGATATGACGGAAATCAAATTTGAAAGATCAGTTCTAATTAAGGTATGTGCATGAAGTTTTTTTGAATTTATAATTACATTAAGCTAGCGCTACTATTCAGGAGAATACTCGCTATGCTCTGAGGCTTTGTTCTCAGGGAGCACGTACTTGTTCGGGAGATAGTGGTATGGCGTCTATACGAGGACCTTGTGGAACCACATTTCATTTTTACGCTTGTGATCTAAGCTTTAATGGCACTAATGCTCATCGCGGTCAAATTCCCTGCATACTTTATTATAGTACACCGCTTAAACAAGATTCTAGTACCGCTTACAGTGGAGGTAGAGGTATTAGTTGTGTTGATACATCTGGGGTCAGCGATAGTAATCTTTCAAGTAAAGTCACCATGCGTGACACAGCTTTACAAATTGCTTCAGATATAACCAAGAAATGCTCTGAACTTTTGGTTTTGGCACGCAACAATCTGGCTGCCTCTTTATCGCCGTCTGATAATTCTTCAAATCATTCGCAGACAATTGACTCTGAGCATAATATTACTCCTATCGAAGAGCACATGGATATAAATTGGGCCAATAATTCTCGCACATCTGTTTTGCCGGCTGATGGCGGTAGTATATCATCTGCTCGTGATCTTTCCAAACGATTAGAGTCATTTTCCAAAGGCATTATAGAAACTTTAAAATTTGAAAAGCGTTCTACAAACCCTTTCGAAATGGAAATCGAAATTGGTGCAACCGAAATACATCCTAAGGATTTGTTATTAGAAGAATCTTCTTCAATACAAGACCTTAATTTGCGTAACGGTCAAATGACGAAACTTAATGGCAATGAACGTACAGGCGCTGAAGCAGTAGAAGATTTCGCGGTTACATCTCAATACAATCCTATGGGTATGTCAAAAGCCGATTCCGATGAAACTCCGGCGCAATTAGCAGCTGTACAAATTTTAGAAATTTTTAATTTAAATTCGTCGAACCTTTTTCATACGTTATTGCCACTCGTTTATGCTCACATAGCGAATTTAGCTTGTAGTGATGCCAAGGTACTTTCCCTAACAGAAGAGACTTCCCTTTCTAACATTTTGAAATATGTGATTTTGATTCTAGAGTTCAGTGCAAATTTTGGGCTTAATTAAAGACATACTGCCGCATATAGCTGCATTGAATCAATTAAATTATTCCAAAGATCAAAATGGTCAAATGCATTTATTTACATTGCCACGTCTACGAGACATCTCCGAACCTTATCGTAAGAAATGTGAAACAGAAGATAATAGTTTAGTAGCTGCCGGAAGTGAGTGGGGATCAACTAATGATATAACGACCACTAGTAACCACTATTGCATCGTGGAAAGTGAACATCCATATCGGAGCGCTTCTATTAATTGTTATCGTGTCGAGTTTCCAGCATGTGTGCAATGGCTAACGATAGAATTCGATGCGCAGTGCGGCACAGCGCAGTTAGAAGATTACCTTTTGGTTTCGATGCCCACGAGACCACTTTTAAATTGTGAACCTGGCCCAATACATGACGATTATTACGACATTTTGGATAATAACATAAAAACGAACCGAGGCAATTGCAAAAACGCTACTTTAATAGCGACATGCTACAAAGCACCTGCGTGGCGTGATATTCAGCCAACAATAGATCCTGATTGGATAGTCGTTAAAAAATTTAACACGTAAGATAAACCTTTTTGAATTCTGCACACAAGGAAAAAAGTTTATTTTTTTTCTATATATGTACACATAGGCCTTCGAACTGGTTGCAAAACGTCATGATATTACCTGGTAATTGCGTAGAGTTTTCTCTAGAAACATCTTCCCTTTACGCCCAAGACCCCCATATTAATCGTTACGGTTTTAAATGTCTTGTAGTGGGTTACGATAATCCAGTATTGGTATATTTTTATGGAATTTTTAAAGAAGTTTCTACGTAAATATGATAATTTTTTTTTATTTTTAGCTAAATAGTAATAATTCATGTTTGGTACGTATTGAACAGGAGTTAGCTTATTTGGGAGGCATGTGTAGTGCTAATTTAATGAGGAAGAATCTGAGTTTACCAGGTAAGAGAAATAGTTCAACGTTTTAGAAATATCTCAGTAAAATGTTTATTTTTTAAGATGACATAAATGTGGACGATTTAGCTAGCATTAGTGAAACGATTAGTGCACATTTTCCTTTGCTGTCTAAAGGTTTAGCTTTATCTGAACCAGAATTAAATATACACCAGGCTTTGGAATCTTACCTACCAATAGGGTAAGTTGCATTTTTGTTATCGCATTATTTTAAATTACATTAGAATATGTTGTCCTTCAGATCATATAGACAAATATACAGTTTAAAATAACTATTATATTTAATTTACATATGTACATAATTTTGGTATCAACTTTATATATATACTTTAACTAATTTACAAAACATTTGTTTGTATACCCTACACCAGTTGTGGCACAGGATATGTTAAGTTTGTGCAGACGTACATAACATCAAGAAGGGCTTAAGATACACCCACCTTTTATTATACCGATCTTCTCTTTCCGTCTGTCTGCCTCTCCATGTATATTTATCTTCAATGTACGGGTCGCAATTTTTGAGATATTTTGATGAAACTTGGCAAAATGGCGTACTCTAACCCAAAGTCGAACGCTATTCAATATGTTTCGTATCGGCCCACTTTTGCGACCATTCTCCACATAATGCCGTATTTTTAAAAGTCGCTAGATGCAAAAAATGGCAATTTTTGAAATTGGTTGGAAAAACTCGCTAAGTAATAGCACTTGGACATTCCAAATTGGTATAAAAACCTTCGACTGGGGCAATTTTTTGAACTCCCCTTTCACATGACCGTTCGTAAATTAAATGTTTCTATGATAAAAACGTATAATTTTCAATATTTCATTGTGGAAATTGGTTCATAACAGTAAATTGACATGAAATCAACCTTACCAAATTTGGACCATGTAGGTCTATTTTTTGGCTATCATTATATATGCGAATTCTTAGGAAATTAAATCTTGATATGCCAAATAAGATTTAGTTGATAATAATTTATGATGAAAATATGTGCAATTAAAGCAATTTGTCATAAAAATAAAGTGGACCAAATTTGGAACACGTGGGTCTATTTCTTAAATCACAATTCATATTAAGGCTTTGTGTGAATACTAAGCCTTTCAGAAAAAGCTTTAATTTTTAATAATTTCGTAAATCACTTAATGGTAAGGAAATTGGATCAGATAGAGAGAAAGTCTAATTTCTAGTATTTTATGGCAGAAACTAAACAATAATAGGAAGTCAATTAAATTCGCAAAATTGGAATCGCATCAACTGGTGGTTTTGCGTTCATTATAAGTATGCATGAGAGTAACGTGTAATTTTTGGCGTACTAATACCAAAACAAGTGAGCAATTCCACTAGACGATGTGGTGCAGGCCTTGCGCGACTATAATCTTCTTACTTTTTTTTTCGGTGTTACGAGACGTTCTGTTCTAAAGCGAACCCCACATTTTTATCATGTTTACAAATCAGTCTTTAACAGGCCGGCATTCTCTATTTGATATATAATTTGTGTTTCTTTATAGGTGCGCTGTTCCGGTTTAATAATTTCAATTTTTAATTGTTGTCGCTTTGTTTTTTGTTTAAAAAGAACGATAGTGCTTATTATTATTATTATAAGTAACAGGAGTAGACCAATGCTAGGTGCCACGATATATAGCCAATAGGTCGATTCACGGCATTCGGTTGCTATAAATTGACTTAGAAGTATGAAGTCACTACTTTGATCCGCATTACTGTTGAAACGAAAATATAACTGATCCTTGTGTTGCTGAAAGAAGACAGACTTTGGTTGCGGTGGTTGTTGCGTAACATCGACGTCATGACACGAAAATTCATTGTCGTAGTATAAACGCTTAATATTTAAATGAAACATGTCCTGGAAGTCCAGAGGACGTATTTGGTTGCCAAAACTTACGATGTTATTGCTAAAACGCAATTCCATTTTCTCATTAGACACATAATCACGATGCAGCATAATAGCTAAAAAGCAGGCAAAAAGGGAATTGTAAAGACATTAACCTTAAATTTAATCATATTTTCTGTACCCACCTTTAAAAGCTATTTGACTAGTTTGTCCAAAATTATTCTCACGTATACTAACAGCTTCCTTAATAAATGCTTCTAGCCATTCGGCATCTACGCTTTTGAAGTTGTTTTGTATTAAAGTTAACTTCGAGATCACTAGGCATAAATTGCATAAGAGTATTTGCATTAAATCGTTGTCCTATTTATTACGATATTCAGTTTCTTAATTTTATTCGGTCTATTCAAAGAAATTTTTGTCTTTAAGCGCACATTCATTTCTTCAATTTCCCATTTGACTTCTTTAAAAAATAACAAGTATTTAAATGATGTAATTTTGTGCGCATTCACACTTCCTCTTAGCCTGCTAAAAAATGTGATACGTCATAGATAGAAGGTTATGAGAAATTAAAGATAACAGATTTGTTGCATGCAGCAGTTAAATTCATTTTTCCCTTCCAAGATCATGAATTGCAATGCTTTTGATAATGGTTTTTCTCCTTCTTCAGATATATAAATTGGTGCTGTTAGGATTCGACTTGACTAATTCGAGTATTTACTTGCGATAAGTAGCCATCATCAGTATCAATTTACACTAGTTTTCGACATTCATAATTTCTCATTTTTTCAAATTCCCCTAAATTTGAAGCCTTCTGTTTTCTTCAAGGTGATTCCGACTTGAAATCAACTTTGCTGATTCACTTAAATCAATCTGTTACTATTTCTTCTGTTTGCACGGTTCGTCTTCACTCATAGTAGCGTAATTTTCAAAAGTGCGTTTTAAGCATCTTCCTATATAACGACTTTGGTGAACAGTATGACTTTACATGAAAATATTAAATAATACAATTTGTGATGTATTGTCACGAATTTGCACTAGTGGTCTTGCCTGTTTTGCTTAATTTTTTATACTCTACAACACTTATGGTACAAGGCATATTAAGTTTGTGCAGATGTACGCAGTACCCAAAACAACTTGAGATGTACCCACCCTTCGCTATACCGATCGATTCAAAACCTTTATCTGAACCGATCTATGGTTTGAATAATTTTCTTGTGTTCAACATACAAGCCGCAATTTTTGAGATATTTTGATGAAATTTAGTATACCGACGGGTTTTAGTGCTTCGACGGTCCCTATTGAAAATGAATCGGATCAGACCATCTTTTTAACCAGTCTTTGTGTAACGCTGACTTTGTTTTCTGAATACAAATTTTGAAAATTCTACGACAGAAATCACATTCTAAATTGGTATGAAAAATTTGAATCGAATTGAGCATTTTTTTCAATCCATCTCTCAGGTAATCGTTTCTGTGAAAATTGAATTTTTATACGGTGGAAAGGTATAAGTTTTCATTTTACATTATGGAAATGGGTTCATAATAATAATTTACCGAATTTGAACAATGTAGGTCTATTTATTGGGTCGTATCCCGGGTAAGGGTTCTCATGACAAATAATTTATTACATAGTAAAAATACCCAATTTTTGATATTTCATAATGAAAGTTGATTCGAAAGAGTAATTCAATATAAAACTTCACTGTCTCAAGTTTGCATCAAGTTTCGACACCGCAGCACGGAACAATTCTCATGAAAAACAAGCTTTGTATACAAAAAAAAGGTCTAATTTATGCCATTTTATAATAAAAATTTGTCCATAACAATAATTTGAGATAAAAATTAATAGAATCAAATTTGAACCATGTAGATGTGTGTTTTGGACCCAATTCCATATGAGAATTCTCACGAGTAGTAAAGCCTCTGGTAGACAGATCTAATTTTTAATACATTGAGCATTGAAAATTTGGATCACATAGGTGTATATTGTAGATCCTACCATATATACGGATTCTCATGAAAAATAAGCTTTGAGTTGGTGATAAAATCTAGTAGTCTGTAATATTCTTTATCTTTAATAAGTCAATTAATTTTTCCTAATTTGGACTACGTCAATTAACTTTATAAAGAAATGACTTATCATTTTCAGCGTATTATCGCAAGAATTAACAAATAACTGTATTAGGAGAAATCGTGTAGGATATTTGATAGCTACGCGTACCCAACTAATGCATAAGGTCTTTATTTTTTTATAATAATTTGGAATGATGAGCCCGGAGGTGAATGTTACTTGCTTGCTTGTAGATAGTTATTTATGTATTATGATGCGTACGGTAGCTAATTTCAACAATATTTGCTTTGAAGCATCCATTTCATTAATATTTTCGCCAAATTTTAAATTTAAATCTGCGATAAGTTGATTTTATAGATATGTTGATGGCGCAACTTGAATCATGATCTGCATATGTAAACTAACAACATATGTCAGTTGTCCATGTCAGTAATTTCGAATTTAGGAACTTTTGAAAAGACTAATTGGCTAACATTTTTTTAATTATTCAAAAACATGAATTTATGTTAGGGATCTAATGCGCGTTTATAGGAAAGAACAGTAAAGCCAATCAGGCTCTTTGCTTTGACGGTAGTGATAAAAATATCCCTTGTCAACCTTTAAATGCCTTTAAATAAACTTACTTTTAAATGAAAATGCTCTTGAATGTATATCTTGGAATTGTACACCAATGATGTTTAAAGTGTCAAGAACTTCAACCTCGTAGAAGGCTTTCGATGGCACACTGCTAATGAATTTGCAATTTCTTACATCAATTTGTTCAACAACAAATTTTTTAAAGGCCTAGGATTTGTAAATAATAAAAACATATGTATATAATATGTTATCGTTTTTTTATAAAACAACAACCAACCTGTGATTCAATACAATTTATTGATATATTATCCATTTTTAATAGTAAAGCATGATCCTTGAGTATGGTAACGGCAAAAGGATTTATAGTATTTATGTGACCATCGACAAAAGTTATTTCTTCAATTAAACCATTTATAGCATGTGAATCAATTATTTCTATATTAACCTAAATATGTATATAAAATCATTATTCAATTTATTTATTTTTTATATAAATTAGTTTGGATATCTTCTTTTTATAGAACTTTTACCTTTTCAAACCTAAGAACCAAAGGCGTATTACTGGCATGTATAGGAAATGCTAAGGCATATTTATTTAGTATTAAGTTATTTATATTGTTAAAGGTTATTTTACGTAGACCCTGAATATCTCCTAAAGCATTGGCATTTATTGTCAGCGCTTTACAGTTACTTATATCGACATGATAAGCTGAACCTAATAAACGAGGTAACAACATAATCTGTTGAGAAATATTTCAAATGATTAATTAAAATAAGTTGTTTAATAGCTCAACTAATCCTAATTAAGTGTAACACCTACCTGGTTAATGTGGCCACAATCACAAGTATATTTGGCATCATGAGCTATACAAGTTACGTTCAGTAATTGGTGGTATTTAACGGTTTTATAGCCTCTATGATAAATGTCCGCCATTACACCTCTGCTGACAAGATCTAATAACGTAAACATCGTTATTGCAACCATAAATATATTAATGGTAACCAAAAATTTCCAGTAGCTGCCAGATATTGTCAATGATATTATGGGCATTTTGCATTTTTTGCAAATTCATTACATTTTTTAGGATTATTTAATATATTTATAGAAAATCTGAAAAAAAGAAGCATCAAACGTAAAATTATTTTTAAAAATAAAAAAGGTTTTAACAGTTTCTTAAAACTGTTGCTTTTGCTTCTTTTGCTCGTTCTTTCACTTCTTCTTTACATAAAAGCCAAAAGAGAGCTTGAGCTCAATTTTTAAACATGTTGCCCTGACCGTGTGCCATATTTCTCTATTTTGAATGCGTAGACAAATTCCGAGTGTAATAAAGAAAGTGGGCAAAAGATTGTTAGCATTCCACTAAAGGACAGCATTTTCTATTAGAAAATGGCAAAATAGAAAATATGCTTTTATTATTAAAAAAGGTCGGCAAAAGCATCTCTGTTGTCTTTGCCATCTTTGCGTCTTTACTTTTTATGCTTTCCTTTTTTTTTGCTTAGTCCAGTTTTAATGCCCCATTTTGTTTTCTTAAGTCTATAAACAATTCATTTTCATTATTCTGGTTCGTATCCTTCCCAATTAATTTAAACACTTTCACATGTGTTAAGCACATTAAACGTCGTAGATGAACAATCGGTATACGCACTTACTGAGAACTTGAGTATAACCCGAATTATCACCATCAATTGGTATACCAGTTCTGAGAAGCATCAACTCGTAGTAATCTGACGACGCTTGTATTAAAGAAATGCTTTCAGTTCAGATTAGTCGACGATTTTGAGATGTTCTATGTATTTTCATAGATGCGCTTCGTTATAGCTTGCCTCGTTTAATAAGAAGAATTGGCAAATTTGACCAAGCCAGCAATCCAGCATGCTTATATTTCCAAAAATTGGCAATTTGTTGCATGATTAATGCCTGAAGCGCAATTTGATCACGTTTTGTTCTACAAAAACCGTAAAAATGTACAGCGAACCCTATTGCCATAAATTGGAAGATTGTGTTTTATATATACGACGAAGCTAGCAAATGAATTGAATTATGAAAACCGAAGGAGCGAGAAGGAGAAAGCGTCGGAAATGAGAGATCTTAAAAATTATAATCAGAAACGATCGGGTTTCAATAACTTTCCATGAATTGACTCAGATATGCGAGGCTCGCCAAAGAGGTTTCTGCATTGCGTAGAGTGCGCATCTGAAGTGATCGAATGATTCAAAATAAAGAAAAATTTTGTGGTCTCACGACATTAATACAAAAATCTTCCAAATACCTGTCGTGTACCTGACTTATCGTTTTTTAAGTTTTATTAGCTGTTCCTTCAAATCAGTTGATTTGCCGAATCAAAATGTAAAATATGCACAACTTGCAGACGATCTAATTAAAATCTAAAATGTAATAAATCGTTATACTGAGCGAGGTGTCGATAACAAAAATTCATTCTTTTAAACCTATACTAATACTTTGAATAATGTTTTCCTTGCCAAAGATAAATGATTCGTCGCGAGTTTTATTGCTCTTAGAATGAACAGTCACTGATAAGTTTTTTAACTCATACAATAAGCTTAAAAAAAAATGAAGGAAAAACGCCCATGAATTTGCTGTTAAATTTACGTTACAAGTCACACACAAATGTGCATGGTCTGTTATATATATATTCAGTTATATATTATATTTAAAGTAAATAATGTACGATAAAGCATTTACATTGAAACGATTGTAACAGTATCTGCGTTTGTTTATCTTATCAGCACTTTTAATATTTTTTTTTTCAGTATGCCGTTTATCTAATTACAAATAATGAACACTGTAGCGTTACTCATTGTATATGTTATAGAACATCTGGAGGTAAACAATGACAAACCTGCTATAAATTTTATATATGGGTTCAAAAGAAGACGACTTTCTACAAATTTTTTAAACGTTCTACGCTATTTATACGTTTTTGCATACCTAATCGTCAAAATTCCTTAACAGCATGAGATGCACAATATACGTTCCTGGTGTTTAGATGTACTGTAATTTATTTAGGCTGTAAATTTTTCACTCAGTTAACTCAGTAAATATTTGCTCTTACTTTTGCTGATTTATTTCAAAATTTTATTGGAGGATAATTTCTTCATTTCTTTGCTAATTTACGGTACATAAGTTAATATGTAAGTTTATGCGTCGCGTGGAGGGCTTACGTATTCATTTAGTTAACGTTAACGTTTCATCTTAGGAAGAGTTTGAAATTAAAATTAAGTAAAATTTACTTTTTTTAAGTTTTTTATATTTTATTAAACAAAAAGTAAACAAACTTTGAGATGAAGTATCAATATCCCTTCTTTGCTTGTGTTATCTTTAACAATATGTCAATACCACAATGTAAAAAAAGCTGGTAAAATTTGCGTTATTTTTCGCACACAATATTTAATAATATAATATATATAAGCCATCGTTGCCTCAGTAATTTAATTTAGGTTTTTTGTTAATTATGCGCGAACCTGCAGACCGACTTAGTGAGTTCTTAAATTTGTGACGATAGTGAAAAAGAAAGATTTTTCTAAGACAACCTTCTAGCAAACGGAGAGACAGATAAACGAGTGAAGAAATATATATATGTATATTTAATACGTGGAGGATTACAGGGCGCATCCTTGTACGACTACGTACATATATAGTCACTCACACTCAGTAACCATCGGTTTTGTTAATTCAATTTTTTTGCTATTGCGGCATGTTGTTGAAGTCGTGATGGCTATAGACCTTAAGTGTTAATCTTGACCCTTGTTAGTTAAAGTAAAAAAGAAATATAGTTTCAACGGTCCATTAGGTTATGCAACAATCTATTTTAAATTAACTTTAATTTAATTTAATTAAGCTTTTTAGACTTGAAGACACAAAGTCTTCCTGCCTAGTAGTGGAGCCATTGACTTAAAAGAAAAATAAGGCTAATCGCCAAGAATGAATCTACGATGAAATTTGTCATCCTCGTGGATATGGTTGATATCAAAAATATAAGCTTAGATATAATGTACTAAGTATTTACTCAATCAAGCACACAATTATTCCTTTACTAACTGATAATAATTGCAAGGAAGTTCTAAGTAGAATTTCAGCGAGATGCAAGAACGATATTTTCAAACATTAACAAATACAGAAACAGGTAGAAAAATCGATGGCTAGCGTATAGACAAAGAGGCAAATGGACTGAGAGACAAACAGAGGGAATACACAGACAAACGAAGAAGCCTGGAAAAATATAAGCTAATAAAAATTTTAAACACACACATAAAACTTATGCTAGCTGGGTTGGAGTTGCAATTTTCGCCTTCTTTAGAGCTTCAATAATAGACAATAGAATGGCGGATTGCTATTAAATCGAATGTATGCACCATCCAGAATGTATCAGTGAGTCATGACTAACTTAAGAGCCTAACTCAAAAGCTCGACACTCGGTCCTTTTTCCTTAATGTAAAATTAAATGAGAACTTTCTTTTACATTCATTTCAAAATTTGCATCTTTCTTTCCTGCCATTTTCATTTTTTCTCCTTGTACTTCAAGAATGTAGACAATTGATATCAAACTTTTCATTATTTTCCCTTATAAATCTTTCATTTTGTTTACCACCTATAGCAGGCGTGATTGCGAACATGTGAATCTAACATTTTTCGGGAGAATAGAAAAATAACCGTGGAGGTAATCGGATATATGTTTACAATTTTCAGTAACAAAGGATCATTTCATAATGGTGTCCATCTTCGGTTATTTCCTTCGACGTTATCCTAACATGTTTGTGAAATTTCTTGCAAACTTTCTTGATCTTTCAAGCTGGTGCAGTCCATTATTTCCGGTTTACGTAGATTACTGCTAAAGCAGTGCCGTCCCATTGTGCCGATAAACGAGCAATTAAGAAGCAAATGTTTAGCAAATGTTTTAAAGTGTGAAAAAATCAAATGCAGATATGCTACAATCATTAAAAGTAAAGCAGTTCCTTGGTTGATTATTTTCAGTTTCTAATCGCCCGTATCGGGCATAAGTCTGTCAGAAAGTCTTTGGCGCACAATATTATATCAATTGAATTTATAAATATTACTATTCAAATCTCACTATGACAATTGCTAAGAAATTATATTCTATTTTACATAATATTTCAATCAGTGCATATATGGAATTTGAATATTTATATAAATAAATACATGGGTATGTTAATATAAGCAGCATTTGAAAGTAAACAGGGTGTCGCAACCAAATGTACGCTTACACACAGCACAGCCATGCTACGCACTTCATTATAATACGCTATACTATTGTTATTACATACATGCATGTAAAGTAGGAATCTAATGGGTGAATTGAGCCGTTTGAACGTGTATAATATTTTAGATACTTGGTTAATTTTATGGTGAAATTCCGCCAGCCGATTTGTTAAATATATGAAATCAATCTTGAAATTTGTGCTGACATTTTAAGCAAGCGTTTGGTGAGATCGTTCTGGACAGCCAGAAAACGATTGAATTGAGATTTTAATCAATTAGAGCCCACTAACTGAATAATAGACTCAAACAAAATGAACTACATTTGTTGGGATGCTCAAAAAGGCATCTTCGTCTGTAGCCAGCTAAAGGCACTAGAAGCACTAATTGTTCTGGGAAATGATTTCTTTTGCGTCAATGAAACGCCAAAGACAAAAACGGCGACAAGGAGAATGGAATTACATAGGAATATTGCTTCTCCTTCTTAACGGCATTTTTTGTTCATCCAACTTGAGTGCAACGAGTGCACATTGTGAAATTTCATGCAAAATATATGTTCCACAAGTATTCATTTTTCAGTTTTATTTCGATTTCAAAAAACATCATAGGACCCGTTGTTGATCTCATCTATAAATTGGATCGCATCGCGCGATGCAAATAGCAAGTAAAATCTGAGTAGATTTTCTTGCAATACCTTGTACACGAACCCGTAAAGAACGATTTACATACAATTGACCATAAATCTCGATACGTTCTTGCAAAACGTAATAATAAAGTAATAATAATAATATTTATATTTTCTATATTTTCATCTCTTGTTATTGTTAATATTGTTTGCTCTGTTCAAAATTTACATATATGTATAAATAGGCATGGCATTGACATTAACGATGAATTTTTAAACCTAGATGCGACATAACCAATAAACAATAAGTGCACGATTCTTAAATGACGTATGTTTTTATATAGAAATTCTTATTTAAGGAGCGCGCCACTTACGTAGGCAAAGGAAGGCAGGCAAACTCGTGCGTAATGCAATAAATGCTACTCAACTTGTCATATTATTTTTGTTCATATGTTCACTCATTCAATTCGTTCATTCCTACAAATTCGTATTGTGTCAGAATATGAATGTTAATAAAACAAAAAATAATACGCTATAAACACGAACGATTAGATTGTCAAGTTAACTTGAGCAGAAAAGAAACTGCAGACGCATTTATATGATTAGTTTAGCATACATGTTTTTGTGTGTGTTTTTTTTTTTTTAATAAACTTGTGGCATTCTCTAAGTTATGTAGCTCCTTTTTTTTATGGCTCAAGACTTAAATATTACGTCGGATTCAACGCATTTCGTAGATTTTCCTAAATAGGTGCCAAAATTTACACACATATTGAGGCAAGAATAAAACATTGCGAATTAGAAAAAAATTTTAATTTTCATTTACATAGATTTATTTAAAAATGATTTCACTCAGACTTCTCGGCCGTTATCTAGCGTAATAAACATTAGCCTAGCATTCCATTCACTTAAAACTCTTCATGCTCGTCCCGCAATTAAACACGATTAACTACGTACGTACATTTACGTATTTGTGTGTACAGAGAAGTGTAGATTCTTCAACGCTTTTATGTTAAATTATTACCGCATAACCTTTGGACAATAATTTCAGAAATAACACAAAGCAAATAATAAGATGATGAAAAAAAAAAAAAAAAAACAACAAAACTAACTGAAAAGGTACCACCTCTTTGTTTGGACTGTGTATTATATAGCAAGCGTTTAAATCTATACTGATCACTTGTTAGGTAGAGTAGTTATGGCTGTTTGTGTTTGCATCTTTTCGAGGATTTCAGTAACTGTGTAAAACGACTCTATTCTCTACACACAAAGCTCTCTGTCCGTTCGGTATGTAAACATTTTTTATAATAAAGCTTCTATATATAAGCACACAGCATACACATTCCCATGTGTATATAAAGACTTGCGTTACTCTCTTTATTGTTTTATATATTCGCTAGACCGATAAAAACGTATACACTTTATATGTAGCTGTGTGCTTGGGGGAAACTACTACTTCAAGCTCTTAAAATAATATATATATATATATATATGTAGGTACGATTAGCTTATACGTGGTTGTTGTTTTATTTTTCTACTTAAGAACGATAGCTGGGCGGTATATTAACTTCGTTAAGCCGCTTGTATAATAACGAATTGCTCTTTCTTGAATGAAAAACAACAAAAAGTCTTATTTGCAAGAGGAGAAGCACGAAGTTCTGGACATAGTTCAAAAATGTTTTTATTTTTCCTCTGCAAGACGTAAGGTTTTCTCAGAGGTTTAACATAAATTACTCTGTGGTAATTCCATGCTACCATGCTTGATAGATGAGGCTTGAAAATTCTATTGTATATTTTTCCCCTCACTTATCTGCGCACAACGTTTAGTCTGCATTTTTAAGCGTTGAAAGATAAGCAAACGTTTTCCGACTGTAGATGTTTTGCTGAGATGTGCCAAAAAACATTGCGATGTCGAATCATTTTCCAAGAATTGAATGCAAGCCTTATCTATTTTAACAATCTTCTGTTAGCAATGACTTTTTCACATTTGGTTTGCGGCATCCAATGCATATTTAATTTTACGCGTAAATAATATTGCACAGCAGCAAGATATTGTTCGTGGTGCTATGATACAGTTATGATATCATGCGAGTGGTCCTAATATTATGAGGTCAATTTGAGCATCTATTTCAAAGTTCGGCTTATTTTGGATAAGCTAAGAAACACGTTGAAGATATGCTCTCAAATACAGTTTTTACCCAATGAATTAAATTAATTACATTTTTCCTGCTACTACTCGCTGTCGGGATCAGGTCTGCCATGAAAAATCATACTATACAGAAAGGTAACATTTTCGTCAAACAATCCGTTGAAAATGAATTTTAACTAGACTTTTCAAAGTCTCCTCTCTTCACATAACATTATCGTGAACGGCCGTTGTTTATCCTGCTCTAATACTTTGGATTATAATTATTCTGAGGGTTACTAGTGGCGATAAAGCAACTATATTCGTCGAAAAATTGTTGGAGATTAGATTAAATTCAATGGGACAAAGGCGAGATTAATTAGCAATTTTTTAATGCCACATTAGATGCTTGATTTTCACTTCGCTCTCGTACTTTGATGGCAAATAATGATCATCAACAAAGCATGTCATCTTGCAAAGCAAACTTAACTAAACCTGCCTACTATATTGAAAATTTTTTAGGACTATAAATTTAATATGTGCAATTCTGCAATGTGCTTAAGCTTCGTTCATTTCTTCGACTACTTATGTTCTCTTACTCACTTGTTATTTGCTCTTCCATTATTTCTATGCTTTGCATGACGGCATGCACGTATTTGTGTTGCCTACTCGTATTGCAATTCTTCTTCTAAGCATTATATACATTATATATATATATGTTATTATTATTATTTACTTTTCTTTGCGATGTTTTGTTTACAAAACTCATACACCGTATCATCATCAATCAGCGGCTGCTTGCTTGCTTGCACAGCATGACAAAAGCCAATACACAAATATATTACGGCATGTACATGCTGTAAGTAGGCCTTCCTCCATTACGCTCGCTATTTCTATTGTTCTTGTTCTTGTTAATTAATCAGTTAACCATTTTTGACAAGTAGCCTCACCACGAAAAAATACAAAATTTTGTGTTATAACGAGTATATTCGTCATGTGTAATACGCAGTGACAATTTGAGTTTAAGTTACAATTTTAATGTAAACTTGAGTATACTTGTAAAATTCAAAATGTTTGAAACGTTTTGAAGGCAAGTCATAATAAAAGGAAAATATAAAATGTAAAAGTATAAAAATTGTTGCACAGCCGCCATAATTTGAAACCATAACGCACAAGAATGAAAAATGGTACCCCGCACTCACAAATCATGATAAAATATGATATCTTATTGCATTATTAATTTTCCAAGGCATAATAAAAGAAGCATCTGTCATTCATTATTTCCCCAAAGATGCCGTTATACCAATATAGTACATAGTCCGGCCCGTCCACGACAATTTAATAATAATTAACAACATTGTACGAAGTAGTAACATTTTTTTTTTTTTTTAAATACTTATACCTGAAATTCCACTAAACAAAATTAACGATCGAATTCAATTACCTCTTAAGAGTAAATGTTATATTAATTATATAATTAATTGTATAATATAACTGGTATACAATATAAGGGAAGATATGAAAAAAGAAGAATAATAAAAACAATTTTTTTATAAAATCAAAAAAAAAAAAGACAATGATTTTAATAAAATCGAAAATATATAGTCTAAGGATAAATAGTGCTAACGTTGAAATTGTAAATAGCTTGAAATATCTGGGGATGATTATCGATAATAATGTAACGTAAACATTCTTTCGCGATTTTACGTTATTATTAAACTCCTTTTCACTGGCTAGTGATTTTTTGGATGATCTAGGTTTTATTTACAACTCTTTGGAAATATATTTACAAACTATTTGCAGGAATTTTAATTTACAACGCTGTAATTCACTTTTATATTACGACTGACTGATTAACTTTCTGTCAACATTCTGCTTACCCTCTACAATCAAGTTAGCGTTATCTAAATTAATCACGATATTTTTAATCCGTTAATCCGTCTTTCCGCTAAATTAAATTTCTGCCAATTGCTGTTAATCTTTTCGCCGGTCGCCGGTCGCCAGCTGCATGATGTACGTAATTCACCATAAATGTGTACATGGTTTTCTCCTCTCCTTACAATTTGGTGTCTTAGAAACTCGAATAATTTTTATGGAAACTCAAACGATTAAACATGGCATTTTCGTAACAATTAGCTATGCTTTGATGCACAAATATATTCTTTGTGGTCTCGGGGTCAATTTCATACTTAGAAAGTTTTATTCCTTCAATATCTAAATGCCCTTTCAAATCAAAAGTAGTGCGGTCAAAGCTTTAATTATGCCACTTATAATTTACGTTCTACAATTCTATAGTTCCACGTATACTTCAAACGTGAAGACAATGAGATTATTATATAATCGTATAATTAGATGTACATTCTCATTGAGGCGGCATGATCATATCTTCTATTCTGTTCTATGTTTTCTAGATTGTTAATTTTATTAAAGTTAGGCTTCTGCTTAGCCTTTACAACATTATCGTACGGCAGGCATTGACGGAGCTGTTTGATCTCTTGTCTTTTAGTGAATCAAGTCGCAATAACAATTTGGTCATTACTCGAGTTAAGTACTCTTTGGCCAACTCATTCCAGGTAAGACTTATAAAAGCTTATAATTCCCTGCCTAGGGAGTTGCAACAGTTTAGATGCTCTTATCTCGCTTACAAACGTAAGGTTTTAATCTTCGCCGCTAACAATGAGATTAGCTAGATTACCTCGTATTGGTACGAAAGTGCGCGTGTATGGTATGTGTTATTTCCTGTCTTGTTTCCTTTTCTTTGTCTTTATCTGCAATTTTCGTTTGCTTTAGATTGCTTAGGAACATTTTGTTTTATTGTTGTTGTTATTTGCACCCACGATAGACATTGCAATCTATTATAACCGGCCTTAATGGCTTCGAGGTTATATAAGCGTCAATAAATAAATAAGTAAATATTCAAAAAAAGACTAGAAATACGTACAGTGAATTAGTTCCATTATTAATAATTAACAGGAAGCTAAGGCAGAGAAAATGCCTTTCTAAATTCATTCCAAAAAGAATTGGGCGTTTTCCCTGCCCAGCTATAGTCCTGGGTTCCTACTACGTTCTTGTATCAACGGCTTATGGCAAGTATGGCAATGGGCACGTTATAGTTTGGTATACGTTGGGCCAATGGAGACGGAAAATTGGTCTTGATGGGTGGCATTGTAAATAAAAAAGATTTTTTAAGGACTCTAAAAGCAAATTTGAAAGAAAGAGCGGACAAAGTTGGTGTTTTGGAACACTTAAATTCTACCAAGACAACGACCACAAGCGTGAATTCCTCTTAATTCAAGAATGGCTCTCATATAACTGCCCCAAAGTGCTTCCCCACACCTTCCCGCAAATCACTAGATATGAAAAATGTATGGGATCAATTAGGCCAGCATATGCGAAAACATTCAATCTCTTCCGTTCAAGCTGTGAAAAATAGACTACAAGAAGAATGGAGCAAGATCCCTGTTTTCTTACACAAGAAAAATTATACAAAATATGTAAAAACGTTTAAATGACAATATTAAGCGAAAGGGCTACCCCATCGAATATTAATTTTTAGTAATATGCTGTTTTTTTATCTTCGTATCCTTCCTTATAAGGAAAAAACTTAGTATTAATGACGCTATGTTTTTGAAGCTGTTGAAGTTATTTAATTTTCTTGTCGAATGGAATAATGTCGGTTTTTTGTTTTTTTAATCTTTTAATATGTAATGCCTTAGAAGTACAAAATAGTAAAGGAAATTTGCATGTTTGGACAATGGACTAGGTTTCAAATGTGCTTACTTTTTGTCGCGTGAAAAAATCCAATATTAATGAGACTCACCTTCGCAAGTTTAAAAGAATCAACATTTATTGCTTAGGCTAAAAAGATCAGAAAGGTGGAAAGAAATGTAACTTATCGAAAGAATATAAAATACGTTGACATTCCCGTTGACATCATGCTCCCAGAATCTAGAATTCCTAGTTCAACTTTATCGCAAATCTCTTCAATTTCACCCAATCGCATCAGCAACGGAATTTATTAAAAGAGCGACAGTGCGATGAGCTTTTTGTTTCGCATGCAAAATTGCAGTTCATAGATACTCTTGAATGGCTTGAGATTAAACTTGTACCCATTGATGATCACTTATCTGTTGTTTGACTTCTTACGAATCCTTAGTTTTCTATGAATCGGCAAACAGCCTTCTCGGGCTGTTTTTTATACGTGTGCATAACAGAGAAGATTTGCAAGAAAATAAACAAATAAAAATAATAAAAGTACGCCTTTAAAGCTTTATTTCAAAATTTCTTTCTTGGAAGAGGAGATATTTAGTAAATTGTTAATAAGTTCCGATCCTTTGAATTCTTTTTTCCTTCTTTCTCTAATTATCATTTCTTTGTGGGTGTGGTGGTTTTCAGGTTTGTTGCTCGTCGCGAATCTAACTTACTTGTGAAAAACGAAATCCAAATTTTTGAAAGTTTTTGCATTAACTATTTTTTCTCTACGTGGTATTTATATGAAAATATGGAACTAATGAAAATAGTGAAAATGATATAAGAAATAAATTTCATTCGTCCTATGTGTCGCTCATTAGAACGCATGATTTTAATTACGTTTACATTCCAGTTGTAAAATTAAATACATATCCCGCATATTTTAAGCATCGCGAGGAAAACATTAACGTATAAATTTTTGTCATGAATTTCAAAAACGAAACGTGGAATGGTTTGCCTAGAAGAATATCGATTGTAGATGCATAACGAGGAGAAACTTATGATATAACTATAATATGTGGTAAGAATTAGCATCTCAATCTTTGATCTTTGTTTCAAATAATCGTCTTCTGCGCGCTATTAGTTACTTACGTTTACTAAATAATTACAACAGTACATTGCTTAGATACACAATTATCGTAGCCACAACCTGCTGTATTTTTGATTTGTTGTTTAATTACCATACAGATCCAGCCATTAAAAACCTCGTTAGAAGATATACAATTATGCCGCGTATTCACGATCAACACAAGACCCCGGATTAATTTGGTTAGCTCCGTTTTTGTGCGTGTTTGACCACATTGCCGGGAAAACGGAAATATACGTTATTCGTGCGCCGATCATAATTAACTAGGATCAAGAACTAGCATACAAGATTTTAAAAACTGCAACGAGAATTACATGCATGGAATTTCCTTTTCAATAATTCAATTTTTCTTGTCAATAGTCCAACATGTTAAAAAGTTTCCCTGAAACCACGTGTGAGTCGTGTCTTCGAGACAATAAATTGTTAACGATGTCTGGTTTCTGAGAACGACATGCTCGATTTGCATTTTTTTCATACAATCTTCAATGTTTAATTTATCGGAGCTCTCGTAAGGACGAAGGCTTGCTGCATAATCGCCGTGTACCGTTCATCATTGGCAGATCTTTCCAAGTAATATTCTACGGCTCGAATATCTTTGTTAGGGTACAGTTATAATAAATGCTGAAAATTTTAAATTTGTCTCATGGCATTTCTTTCATACATGTTTCGAACGCTATTAATATTGATGAAGTTATTTGAGAAAATTTCGACGCTTGTTGCAATGAAATGAATTGTCATCCGCTAAGAATTAATTAAATTTACTGTTTATTATATGAATATTGCGGGTTTCTTTCAAGAAAATTTTTCCTTTTGAGTTTCACTGATTTATTTTTTTCGAGTTTTGAATACGTTTCTCTTAATACAATAAATATTATGAAGTTCTATTATAGTTCTTCTTGTTCTTGAGTTTTTTTTTTTTTTTTTTTTTTTTTTGTTACTTTTGCCACATCTTACATATATGCACATATATAAAAAGAAAATTAAATTCAGTCGGGACCGAATCTTTTATACCCATCACCGTTTACCCCTAAAAAAAAGGCAAAAGAAGTAAAAAAACAAAATTCTCATGCTTTTTCATTTCTTCTATTTTCAAAATAAAAGTTTTTGTTGTAGAGGCATGTGGACGTAGTAGGCGTGTCCTTTGAAAATTTTAGATCAATTACAAATTTGCTTGCAAATTTGTAGGCGATATCTTCATTTTCGCAAAAAGGAGAATGTTTACTATAACTACTATAAAGCTGCGCAAACAGACAGACGGACAGGCGGACATGCCTAGATACATTCGAAGCCGGCCAAGAGTTTATACACTTTATGGAGCTTTTGAAGCTTGTTATAAAAGTATTGAAAAAATAATTACATTTTCATATACCATAATATTGGCCAGGCGTGGTAAATTTTTTCACTTTAGTGCAGGTGCCATAGCATCGGCAATAGAATACGTCCTTAAATTTTTGTACATTTGTTTGCTAGAGTTTATGAGTAATGAGCAAATAGCCAATTTTTCATTCCTTTTGAAATGGTGTTCTCAGTTTACGTGGTACCGTGGGCGTGTTCTTCAACCAATTTGGCGTATTTTCAATACCAACCTGCGTGCAAGAACTTCTAATGTTTCTGACAAATTTGAAGTCGTTAGCTTCATTTCCGCTTCCAGGAGAAGGTTTGCAACAAACATGACACAGTCGAACAGATGTGCTTGCTTAAATCGATTTAGATCTCCCTTTTCACCCCTCATCCTTCATTGATGGGTATAAAAATAATATGTATAAATTGTTGTATATATATATATATATATATATATACATATATATGAATAACTATAGAATCACGTATGCGTTTAGGATTGTTCATGTGTTTGAAAGCACTAAAAAATACAATATTTAATAGATTTTAGTTTGCATTAATTATGCAAATCGTGTTGTAGACTTAAATAATTTTGTTAAAAAATAAAAACATGTATATAATTAAATCTAATGTAACCATATATTAATCACAAGCCCTTGTTTAAAATATTCTTTATAATGATATTGAAAGTCGTCTTAGGCGTCGGCATATTCAATAACATCGTCAATCTTAACAGTTTCATTGCTGCCACCCGAATGACTGGATCCCGAATCGGGTGGTAGAGCTGTTGCTCCTCGCATATCCAATTCAAATTCATTTTTAATGGGATGTTTATGCCGGACATCGGGCGTAGTGTATGAGGGTGGCATTACTAAATGCATGTTTTTGGGTTTAGCTGTGGGATTGAAATTCGTTTTAATTTGTAAATCTTGAGCGATTTTTTGCACATTTGTTAATGGTCTTTGTGACAAAACGTCAGGCAAATTATCTGTAGCTTTAGGATTAGGTAATCTCTGTTGCTGTTGTTGTATTTGCTGTGAAAGCGCTGGGTGATTGCGTTTAGGAATAGCATATTGAGTTGGTCTACGGGAACAATACGTTTTATAAGGCAAGGTAGTGACAACAGCATAAGGTGGATTAATATGAGAACCTGTAAAGTTATTTGTTTAGCGTATTTTTGCAGCAATGAGGTCGGATTCTTCGAACCAGAAGCTGTTGTTTACTAATGCAAATTACCTGTTTCATTTATCGGTTCTGTATATAAATCAATTGTAGGTGGTTGCCTATCAGCCGGCGAAGCATATTCATTGCGTAATAGCGGTTGTTGGGCACAATTTGGTTCTGCATATATAGGCTCGGCTCCTGCTTCGGGAATAGATGATTCATTACTTTGCTCTAATCGAGAAAAACTATCGGTGGAATAAAAATCTCTCTCAATACCCATTAAGCCAGGCTCAGTGTAAATGGCTGTTTGATCGGCCGGTGGGGCATTGGGCAGCGGTGACTGCAAATGTTCGGTTAGTATACGATTAAAAGCTATAAAATCACTGCCAGAATTTTGAACCTTATTCAATAAATTGACTATTTCACTAGTGAATTTAACGCATTTTGTTTCATTCAGATTTTGTGTCATCATACGTTGGGCGCGCTCATTGATTTTTTTGTATATTTCCGGGTACTTTTTCTGTATTAATTGAAGTGATTGATCAATTACTAGGCGTTCTTCACGGCTGAATTCATGCAAATGAGTTCTCGCTTGAATGCCACTAGAGGTCTGAGGTTTTGCGCAAGGTGTTCTCTTGAAATGGCAAATCAGAATAATAACTATTGCGCTAATAAGTAATAATATGAACAGGCTGCCAACCAGAATTAAAATTAATTCAGGTAAGCGATTGTTTCGTTGTTCAAGCTCTTCGGGGGTAAAAAAATGTCCATCGATTTTTTTCAAATTTTTGTTCGCCACGCAATCTAAAACAGTTTTACTCTCGTCGCACACTTCATTTATATATTTAAGTGTGTTGAACGTCGACGAATTAAAACAGTTACCTAATTTATCATCGATTGTACAATAGATTTCTGACCTTAAATCACGAGCGGACAAACGATCAAGCCAATCTAAATTGCAGCGACACGGTGCATTTATTGATATTTCACGAAGTATGCAATAAGGATTTGTAATATTTAGGCTGCCGGATAATGGTTGCGTTAAAGAATTACGATTGAAACGGCAATTAACTGGTTGCGCGTCAGCCTCCAATACTATACCGCCGAAAACGCCAAATTGATTTTTTTCCAGGACTATGTTTGACCAGCCTTTAACTCGCAACCAATTGTTGCCCAGGTGCTTGATATTATTATTTATTATAGTGGCATTTATGGATGTGACGTAAATGGCGTTTTCGTGAATTGTGTCGATTCTGTTCACGTGCACACGTACAATAAATATAAAAAAGAAATTGAGAACGAATTAATGCACATTTGTAAAAGACACACAGCTCATTTCTATTACCTATTGTTAGCTAATATTAGTTCCGTAATGCCACTACCGTAAATGGCTTCACTTTCGATAAAACCAATACTTGCATCCATTATCGAGACGTGGTCACTGAAAAGCTTAATTAGTTTATAAAATTGTTAATTAATCGGTATTCAACTATAAATATAAGCAATAGTTTACCTTTTCTGTTATAGCTCTGGCTTTAATAACATCAATGCGACAACTTTCAAATACAATCGAATTGATTTTAATAACATCAAAAGTGCCGGCATTAATTGTGCCGATTGTGCAATTTACAAAACGTATCTCACGCAAAGATGCCTCAAAACGATAAATATTATCAATGTTTGAAGATTCGATACGTAGCTGTTAAAAAAAAAAATGCATTAAAAAATGAATAAATGAATTATCACGAAATGACTCTTCCTTACAAAATCAACGTACCTTAGCTTGGGCTGAATTAAAGGCCTTCTCTCCTATACGCAAATCCCTAATGCCCACGAATAAACCATTGATTTTAGCATTCTCGAATGCATCTGCATATAATATTAGGTCGTTGCTGTTGCGCACCGTTAATTTACAATTTCCTAAAGGTTCAATCTCAATCAATTACGTCTAGCGAATTTTTAATGAGTGTCGTTATTAAACTCACCCGAGAATGCCTTTGTTCGGATAATCACTGTGTATACATTGTTAAAATTAATTTCAGGATACGGTCCATTATTGTCGCGAAACGCTTCAGTGTTTACTTCAATTTGTTCACCATCTGCATACTGGCCTTCGACAGTTATACTATTAACAGTGTTGTTGATAAAGAAACCACGATCCAAACGAAACTGTGTATTCCGTTCCAGTTTAATGAAGATCACAGTAGCGTCTAGTGGCACTTTAAATGATTTGTCGAAAACCGAACTTAACTATAGAAAATTCAGAAATTGGAAATGAATTTATTAAGTAGAGTAACTTTATATATATATGCAAAAATTTTTTAAAATTTTAGAATTTTTGGGTGCAAACCAGAAAGATATTATATTAAATATATTATATTAATTATATTCCGTCAAACGTGTTCGGCAATTGGACTCATCGGAGTCGAATATAATTATGTTTTAGGTGAGAAACGTTGTCAGTATATCCATGACTTGTGGCGAAACGTACAAAAATTTTAAATACTACATAAATTATGGAATTTGCACCGCACATCTCATTTACATCCATTGCGCAGAAATTTAGCAACATATGCGGGTAAAGGTAGATACGAAAAGCGAAAATCTGTGAACTGATTTCATCTTTCCCTCTCTACCTTCGATCCTTCTTGTTCATAATCACGCTCACACGTATAGGGGCTATCAGATATATATATATATGTACGATAAAATGTACAACGCTATATATGAAATTTGAAATTACACATTTATAAGAATTGCGAGCAATATTTATGATCCTTTGTATGTTGCGTCTGAATATATATATATATATATATATATATATATATTTTTTTTTTTTGTTAAATGTGGCTATGTTTTTAAGCAAGAATACGCTTTTTTCTAATGTCAATTTTTGTGTTTTAATTTAAGAAGAAGGAAGGAAGGCGCCCCACCCATTGTTATAAAATATGAAAATTTAATTTGTTTCATTTTTGTGTAAATTAACTTACTTGCGGGTATGCTAAATTAATTAAATTTATTAAGATGGCCATTCCCATCAAGAATAAATATGTTGTACATGATTTTGGATTCGCATAAAATTCGCCTAACCTCACATTTGGAATTTTTTTGGAAAGATAACATAAATGTTGTCTGGTGAAGCAGTAATGTAATCACATATTGGTATAAGAATTTCGTTACTTTAATTGTGTTTGTTTCGCACAATTCATAAATATTACTATACGGTCTCCATATACTGATACTGACGCTAAAAGTCGCATGGGAGGAAATGAATCGTTTTAAACTTATAGGTAAAACTTTTTGCGTAAGCGCTGAGAGCTCGTCGTGTTCATTTTACGAATTTTATTATAATAGATTATATATTCAGTTTGTTATCCTACGTTTACTTCATTCTTGTTTATCTTTTTAGGGCTGTATGTATACAATTCGAACTTAACTCCCTCAAGAAGTCATTTGAACACTTGAAGAACTTGTACATCAATATTGTAATTGTGAGGATTTATATGTGAAATTATGCATGGTACACATATGTGAAACTATTGCATGGTACACTTCTGCTTTCCATCAAACAACTTTTCATCTGCAAGATAATAATTTTCTGTAGGATTCCTTCCATTTGAAAAAGAATTATATGAAATTCACTTTGATGAATGATATTTGTGATGGTTTTAACACTGCAGATGAACGCAAGTGCTTACATATAGAGGGCGAAGTAAAAAATGCATTGAATGCACAAAAAGGACAAAGGAGAATAAAAGTATCCGAGTGCTAAACGTTAAAGCGTTCTAGTGATTTGCTATAACGTATGAGGTAGTTGCAGAAGAGTCTGACCGGGCAGGAAGTACAAAAGATTTAAGAAAAATGTTTTTATTTCTCAACACAGTTACCTTTAATTTGATTCGATGTTCGATTGCTTTGATACCCTGTTTGTAATAAAACTTGAATAAAAGCTGATACTATGTCGCTTAAAATATGCAACCCAACTGTTTTGTCATTGTTAACGAAGAAATAGACTCCCACAAAGTACAATTTACCTCGGCTTTGAATTGCTTAGCCCACTAAATCTAATCATTGGCCAACTTGTTAGAAAATTTTATATAACTGTTAAACAAGGCTGTGAAGATAAATTCGAATTTAACTAGTAAAGACACCTACCATTTCTGTTAACATAGCTCTGGTAACGACTTAACAGAGCTCATGTTAAATAATTACAATTGAGATATAGTTGGTTTGAAAGCCTAATCCGTCCATATTAAAAAAAAGGAAATTTTTTTGTGGACATTTCCTGAATCCATATAAAACCACCTTTGAAACAAACTAAACAAATTCAAATTCTGCTTATGGAAACTATTTTTAACGGTATTTGAAATTTGGTATGTTAGCGAAAAATGCATATGAAAAAACACACAAATTTGACACTCTGGTGCGGCCAAACTAGAAAATGTCGCCTATATTCACCTATATCACGTGAATCTATATGAAAATATCTATCGATTAAGCAAAAAAAATTCACACTTTGCTTTCAGGAACTATTTTTGCCGATTTTTTGAAATTTGGTACGTTACCATAACATAGCTATGGGAGAACACCCAACTTTGACACTCTAGTGCGGGCAAACTAGAAAATGTCGCCTATATTCACCTATATCACGTGAATCTATATGAAAATACCTATCGATTTTTTCATGCATATGTTATATATGTATATTACCAAAGAGTTTGGTCTTTTCTACAGGAGGAGTATTGCTTGTACGTAACTAATAAGAATAAACGAAGTCCAGTTTGTTAAAAACGAAATTAAATTCTTTCGCAGTTGACTTTACTGAATTTAATTTATTTAACAATTTTTTCTAAAGATGTGATCCTTGAAAATAATAGAGGATGCTTATAAAGTTTTCAATTCATTTAGAAAAATTTATGTACGCCTACATGAAATGTCATATATAAATGAGAATATAAAAATTAAAACTTTTATGGAATAAACCTGCATTCTTTAATAACACATAAATGATGTAACAAAAACAAATCATATATATTTGATAACATGTTTGTTTTTATATATATACCTCTCGTTCGTTTTGGCGTAATATATATTTATAGATGTATCTAGCGCATATGAACGGATTCTTAATCCCGTTACTTTGCAAACGTTTGATACAATGTGACGCCAAGTCAAGCAACAATTAACAGAATTATTGGTCTTACAAATAATGATCAATAACATTACAAATTTATCCGTGATATTGTGCCCAAAGTAATTATAATATAATTACAGTAAACAAATTAATCAATGTAGAGTAAAGCGCTTCTGTTTTTCAGTAACAAAAAAAATGTTACAAATATATTTCTTTATAATTGTAAATTTTGTTACATATAACATTTTCTTACGTCTCACGTGGTGTACTCTGTACATTGTTGCGTTTCCATGAGCTGTGTATATGCAATATATCTATACTCTCTCTCTTTTCCCTCTCTATGCATACATAATATATGCTCACTCGTATACATACATATGTTATGTACATATCAGGAAAAAAACACCAAAGCATTTTGATCTATGCAAGAGCAATGCAACGTGTACGTCATGTACAGAAAAAAACGAATTTCAAACTGTTAAGAAGTTAAATTTGTTTTTTTCTGTTAATGCGACACGCGTTATCTTGTTAGTTGTATAATTTCAAAAAATCGGCAAAAATAGTTCCTGAAAGCAAAGTGTGAATTTTTTTTGCTCATTCGATAGGTATTTTCATATAGTTTCACGTGATATAGGTGAATATAGGTGACATTTTCTAGTTTGGCCGCACCAGAGTGTCAAATTTGGGTGTTTTTTCATATGCATTTTTCGCTAACATACCAAATTTCAAATACCGTTAAAAATAGTTTCCATAAGCAGAATTTGAATTTGTTTAGTTTGCTTGAAAGGTAGTTTTATATAGATTCATGAAATGTCCAATGTTATCTTTTTTTTAATACGGACGGATTAGGCTTGCAAACCAACTATATCTCAATTCTAAGTATTTAACATGAGCTCGTTAAGTTGTTAACAGAGATATGTTAACAGAAATGGTAGGTGTCTTTACTAGTTAAATTCGAATTTATCTTCACAACCTTCTGTTAAAGAATGAACTTATCCTTCGAATTTCATATTTAAGCTGCATAAGTTGGTAATTTCGACTTAATAATTAATACACACTTTCAAACAACCATTGTTAATTAGTCGAATCGGGTATTTCTATGACCGCACTCACAGAAGGATATTCTATACGTGGAAGAACGTCAATCCATGATTGTGTTATATGTTTTTACATGAATAAAAGCCGATAGCCTAAGATGCTAGTGATTTAAGAGCCTTAGCCTTAGAATTTATTTCTGTGGCGAAATTAATAACAATAATAATAATAATACATGAATAAATGTCGGAACATCGAAATTGTTATTTGAAAGACAAACGTTTGGTAAATATTTCTGCGTTATTTGATTGCTATGCCCTACACCATTTGTGGTACACAAGTTTATTAAGTTTAAGTTTGTTTGGATATACGCAATACCGAGAAGAAATTGAGATAGACCCACCTTCTATTATACCAATTGTTTTAGGATCACTTTCTGAATCGATTTAAACTTTTCTCTCGATCTGGTTTTCTTGTGCTCAACCCATGGATTGTGACCCAAGGACGAATATTATTAAAATGTTTCGGATCGGACCATGTTTTTGATTATTTCCAATATAGCGCCTTGTTTTGAGCATTCGTCATAATAATACCAATAGTTTGGCGTACGGTACTTTATGGTGGCCGTAACCTAGTGTAGCGTTTTCAACTTTTTTTGAATAAATAAACTAACAAATGAATTATCGGTACGTTTAGTGTTTATTTGGCTGGGTACTCTTCGCAAATACTCCCTCTAGCAAACACAATTTCTGAACTAAAACTAACTCGCAAGTACTTACGCTTACACTTTGTGCGAAGTTGTGTACCTCTGCTTATAAAACTTGTTCGTTGCTCTTCTTCTCTTACACTTTGTGCGAAGATGTGTACCTCTGCTTATAAAACTTATTCGTTGCTCTTCTTACTTATTCTTATTGCTAGTTTATGAATTTCTCTCTATAATATATATATATATATATATGTATATGTAGATTTAATGTTTAACCCCTGATGATCAATGCATTGCATTGAGCGGTATTCAGAATCAATTTACTAGTAATTCTTCTCTCGTCTGCGAGTAACGATATAATAAATGTCTTTCAAA